ATGGGATGGGCCTCTGCTTATAGAGTGGGCGAACCTACACCGACTACACTAAATGTTTACGTTTCCTGAGCGTCAGGCAAACATGGCAAACATTTAGCAATGTTTTTCCAGCATTTCGGAAATAATTGCTGACATTCCGGGCTCCGAATGGAGCCATAAAAAGTCGGCTTACTTGACGTGACGGTTAGCCACAAAACCGGCGAAAGCAACAAAGAAAAAAAATAGGGGGAGAAACGGGTTAAAAATAAATATAAAATGTAACGAAATACTCGCGACGTGGCCAGAACATAGAACATGGCTAATTCTTGCATGACAATTTCACATTCATAACCCTTTTTGTCCGCGCTGTCCGTTCGGTCCGGTCGGCACGGTTTGCAGTCTTCCGTCTCATAATTATGCTCTATATGAAGCGGGAGCTTGATATAGGGTGTATCAACTATCAAAGATTTTAGGATAAGAAAAAAACCAAAACTAATTTTAATGAATTTCAAAAACTCTTTTCAGCAATTATTAACTCAATAATAACATTTTGAAAATAAAATCTAAATCATAAATTTACCTAATCTTAATTTTATGTTAAGTTCAAACCAAAAGCTTTGCTTACTAGGACCTAACTAGTTCATAAGCTTTTTTTTTTAAGAATTTTAAGAATTTTTTTTTACCTGTATTGAACAGGTTTTTTTAAAGATAAATATAGATAGCCTTAAAAAAAAATTAAATGTATTTAAAATTTAAAAATCTATCAAATGATAAAAATGTATGTTTTTTCATTTCTAGTTGCACAACAAAACCCCTTAACAATTATAGGGCATTCCAAAATTCACAACCTCTCACTTCCATAAGTTCCTCTCCCCCATTTTCCCCCTCTGTGACACGCCATTTTTTCAATTTTATATCATGGCATTTCCACGGCTATTTTGTAAGCCGCGATTTGCGATTGTTCATTTCGAGCGCTCTGTTAATTGTTAATTTTTATGGTCTGGCAATTGCGGCAACAACAGCGAGCAGTGAGATAACAACCGACAGAACGGAAAAGACCGGACCAGAAAAAATACAGTGAAAATAAAGAAATTAAAGTGCCCCGGAAGAGGAGCTTCTGGCTGGTTTTGAAACCCCTATAAAAACAATTTAGCAGGCAATAAAAATTCCGAAAATAGCATCAAATTGAATTTCAGCTTGGCACACAACGTTTCTTGATAGATAGGCTAAGATAGAGCCTGGAAATCTATTGATGTGTGGACTTGGGGGAGTTGGCCAATTGCCTGCCAACACCCACGGCTCAGGAAACATCAAAAAGCGAGGCCATTAAAGGCTTCTTTTTCCCACAATTTTTTTTCGTTTTTTATCCTGCCAACCCTTTTACGCACTTACGCAGCTTGAGCAAACAGGGAAAAACTGCGAGCGGGTTGGAGGTTTCAATTTTAAAGAAAATATTTGCCTCCAGGGTGCTTTTGATATTTATTACCTTTTGCAGGGGGAGGTGGTCAGTAAATAGTGAGGACATTAGCCTCGAGTGCTGACCAGCCAAAAGCAATTTGCTACTTTTGTTAATGGCCGAGAGACCGGCAATAAATTTGGGTATTTTTCAAGTGGTGACTATTGGTCTTTGGAGGCCTGCCTGTCAATGGCTAGATCTCACTGGTTAATTCAAACAAATTACAATTATGCCTCCCACCCAAAGGGGAAAAACCTCCAGAAAAGTCACAACAGACAGCTGACAAATGACTCAAAAGCCCGAGGAGGAGGAGCGACATTAAGCGATTAACTCGTTGAGGCCGAGGTTGGAAATGTATCTGCATGGAGTTTCCGAGGCTGTCTTAGGCCAACTTAACATATTGTTAACGTGGGCAAACCGCTTGTACTGTAGCAATACCCGAATGTCTTAGGGGAATTTCAGTTTCAGTGTCCTTGCCCGATGATGCGATCCAGCGAGGTCCAATGACATGCAAATGTATGCAGATCTGCGCCTTTTGTCATGTCAACGCAGGCAAATCGACAAGCGAACCGAAAAATGTGTCTAACCGACTCAACTCCACAACTCTACTCTCAACTCGTTGCCTTTTGCTTTTCTGCCTGCGATTTTTGCTTAAATCTGCGCGCATGTTTTGTGCGGTAAATAAAAAATGCAAAATAAATGCGTAAATCTCTAACGGACAAGGGGGATGAGTTTGGGAATGGGACTGAGAACGGGACAAACGGCAAAGGGTCCAAATGTGTCTGCAAAGTTTTTTGCAGGTGCCATGTCTTTTGTGTGCGTCTGCCCGATTTTCAACCGAGGACAGCAACCGACAGTTCATCAACTTGACTTGTGATTTCCGGTTTGCGTTTTATTTTCTCTTCTTCTACTTTCTTACTTACTTTAAAAGCGGATTAGGCGGAGACAAACGCCCACGGTGGCATCAGCATATCCACATCCACATCCACATCGAGGTGAAGGGCTTAGTTAGCATGTCTGAGATCGCTGATGTGGGTTCTCAGCTACAAGTCGAAAGAATGTCAAGGTGGAATTAAGTCAATGATGTGAGCAGGAAGGAGCTTGGGCACCCCAGTTGCCTATGATAAATGTTCTGTGAAGAAAAACCATACAAAAAATGTCTGAAGGGTTGGATTTCAAAAATATAATTCACTAAATATAAGAAATAAAAGTCCTAAAGCGAAAAAGTTTATAAGAAGTTAGAGAGGTAGCATTTTTGAGAAGCGCAGAGAAGGGCCCTAAAGAATTCCCTCCTCTGCACTTCTCAAAATTTAGTAAAATCCTTTACCACTTTATATTTCGCCACGAAAAAAATTGCAGAACAATTTCAACAATATTTTTTTTACTTCTCCATCTCTGCCTTGATGTTCAACAGCTGCCGCAGCTTGTTTGGAATTCACACATCGACAACGGCGCTTAGAATTCGCTCCAACCACTTACCGCTTAGCCCTCACCCACCCGCATCCACTCACCCAAAGCCACCTGAGCCAACGACGATGTGCCAAAAAATCCCAACCACTTCAACCCGAGGCTATTGCTTCCATATTCTACTGTTCCACCATCGTCACACACCCACTCTCCCAATTTTCTCGCTTTGCGGCAGTGCAAAAACAATTTTTTGAGAGTAGAAAAAATAAAGCGAAAATGTTTTAACGCATCGACGCATAATGACAACAAACAAATCGCTTCATTTAACAATAAATAGCTGCCAGCGACGACGTTAAAAAAAAAACACACGAAATGAAAACAATTCGCGCTGAAGAAATGCTCAACTGAAAAAATAATCGCTTACTGAACACGCGGCTTCACATCATCATCACATCGCATTGGCATGTGCCACGCCCCCAGCGAAAAGTCAAGGTGGCACTTGTTGCAGAGGTTGTCACGTCGCTATAAATGGGATGGGGGTTATAATATAGAGTATATATCCACAGGATGACTATGTATCGGCATCGGAAAACAGCGAGATGATCACACAAGCGTGCCCGTTCGGCAATTAGATTGCGATGCCTCAGCGTTAATTATTCCCAGGTAATTGCTGCTCCAGTTGGGCGTGTCAACGCATGGAACCACTTAGCCGCAATTGTTCCTGGTATTTTCCACCTGGAAATGAAGTCAAATTAACAATAGAGCGGCCTGCTCAAGGCAGAAAATTATAATTGCCATGATAACGATCAGCAGTTCGTAGTCGTAGATGTTGCATTAATGGCCAAGGAACATGCAGAATAGATTTAGGTGAGAATGAGCTGTTTTATTTTAATAAAATAGATTTTCGTTTGCTTGACTGGATCAGAGAGTTGCTCAACTGAAAAAAACTTAATTAAACTCCCAATAAAACTAGATTATTTTATCAATTATTATTATCAATTAAATTCTTTCAGATTTAATTAAATTCTGCTTCCAAAAATTTCACATTAAGATTCCTTAAAGTGGGCAATTATTCACTTTAAATTGTCATACAAAGAAATCAAGATAAAGATTACTTAAAGTAGGCAATGCTTTTATTTTAATTAAATAAATTCAAGTTTATCTAAATTGTACTCCAAGAAATCCATCTTAAAATTTCATAAAATATGCCATGTTTTCATTTCAATTAAATTACTTAAAATATTGTTTTTAATTCATTCTTCAAATACATTCCATTAATATTTTGCTGACATTTTTCATTAGATATTTATTTATGTGAGACTCAAAGTTTTTTCCGAAATTCATATCATTTAATTTTATTTATTTATTTATTTTAAATTATTTAATTTTTATTTTACCAAGCATTATACCACAGCAGTTCACAATAGACCTATCGTTAAGAAAAACTGTTTCCCAAGGAAAAACCAACAAATTATGATTCAAGTTCCCATCTCTCATCTGAATGTTTTCCTTAGCCGGTTTTTTCCCAACCTAAACCTGCCTTGGCTGTCCAAAAATGTGGCTAGAACCAGCAAATTGAACTTGAGGCCGAACATGCAACTTCCTTCCTTGGCCGGGAGGCCACTTCCTTGGCTTATCCTGACTGACCCTCCGCCGACTGAAAAGCGAGGACACATTGCCAGGTGGCATGCCAGGTTGCCATTTTCCGGGGACATTTTGAGGCTAATTAAATCCACGGCGAACAGAGAAAAAAGCGAATGCTAAACGCTTTCCGGCATTGACATTTTTTCGCGAGTTGAGTGAAAAATATTAAGCATACGACATGTTCTCCCGGCACTGAGCACTGAGATTTATGTTATGGCCGTCTTTTTTTCTTTCCTTTTATTTCCCCAGCCGCGAGACAATTAAAAGTGCTGCAGGAAATGTTAACGCCGCGATATTTATGACACTTTAAAGGTTGCTTTAAGCGAGTCCTTTGAGTTGGCCTCAAGTCCCAAGGACTTTGGCAATTAAAAATGCGTCGCTGGCTTATCGCACGCGCCACGACAAGTGTTGTGTTCCTTGGTTGGTTAAAAAGTTTTCCGCAATTTCCACGCCGCCAAGAGGTGTCGAAAGTTTTGGGCGCAAGTTTTCGCCGCAGGACTTGTAATCCTGCGCCACCCAGTTGGCTTTAATCCCGCTTGGCTCGCCTTTATTGCGGCTGATAAGAAATAAGTGTTCACAAAATTTATTTGGTGCGGTGTTGAGAGGACAAGGCAATTAGCGTGCTAATCAAATAATCCGCTACTAATTGTTGAAAGGAGTTGGCTTGGCGGAAGGAAGGAGCTTTAATTCCTTCTTGGAGCTCCTGGTTTTTGCAGCCCCTCCTCTTCATTTTGCTTAATTTTTTTGGCCTCCTGGTGGGGTTCCTTTTTCAGGCTGTAGAATAAGACAAAGCCCATTTCTATCATTGCCAGGAGCTGCAGTCCGAGGATCAGAATCATTTTCAGGTGGGCTGGGACATAATCCTTGAGCACCAACATATCTGGTGAAGTGAGGAGCTCCTTGACATTTTGAACAGTGCCCCAGAAACAGCTGACGAACTGCAGCAAATAGGGAGTCACAAAGAGGCACTTGAAGTTTCGTCCCGTTTGGATGGTAAACATTTTCGAGGGCGTCAGTAGAATCAGCATCGTGAATAAAGTATAAAGATTGGCCGCCAAAAAAGCGCTTGCAATGTTGGAGATCTGCAGTCTAAGATCCAACTGGCCCGATGGAACATAGAGTCGAGGACAAAGCTGCATTCCCCAGGCGGCAGACATCAGCGTAAGGTAAGTAACGAAGGTTCCCATTATTCTTAAATATATCACAAATTGTATAGGTTTTACTTTGATTTTATGACAGCAAAATCCTGCCAACTTTAATTGTTTTAAATGTTACAAAATACATACCGATGAATGAATTTAAATAGCAATCCTAAAATTCTTATGTATATTGATCTATAACCACTGAATTATCCAGTGATCTAATGCTTCATCAATAAAGCTTAGGAGGTTTTGCAACATACGATTATAACTTGGACATAAAGTTAGTGTTTTTAAAATACTTATAAACACTTACATGTTTTTACACCAAACTTTCTTATCAAAACGAGTATTAAGCCATAAAAAAACATCTTGAGAGAACGATACCTTATGCCTGTTCTAAAGGCCTGTAAATGGTTGTTAAATCCCTGATTTAATGAAAAGGCCGTAAATTCTTTAACCCTTCTCTGCCGGACAGTCAAAAGTTGCACAGATTGAATGCTGCTAAAAGTTTAGCATTTTCCACCGATATTTCACACAGCCATTAACATTTTTGCGAAATATTTTTGGAGCCACCCCTGTAGTTCTTGCCTTCCCGGTTTTCCCGGTTGGAAATCCACTTTGATGCGCCTTTCATGTCCAGGCAGGCCACTTAGGGAAACCTCACACCCATCCACCTTTCGGCACAGGACACACGTTGACGCACCTCATGCGGTGACAACGACCAAGTCGTGTTCCTCTAATACCCGCGCAAAATATGACCAAAGCCCAGGACGAAGTCCTTTAAGCACTCGCCACAGGACATAAAAAAGGAACTCGAACTGAAACTGAACCTGAAACTGGAAGAGGAAAGCAAACCTCAACCGAGGCCTAAACAAAATGTTCGCACTAAGCGCCTCAAGTCAAACAGAAGACAGCGAACATAGAAAGCGGGCTGAAATCTCCTCGAGCCCGAGGGAAATTTATGTGCCTCGGGGCGGTAACTTCATTATGCAATGACCTACAATGAAATGGGCTGCCGTTGCACAAAATTTATGTGCAAAGTTGAGAGACAGCCTAAGTACCAAGTGCTCGCCTGCCCAGACAACTTGAAGTCTTCGCCCTTTTTTTACTGTGTTTTTTCCCGGCCCAAAATAGTTTTATTTTTATAGCTGATAAAAAAGCAAAACAGTTCCCGAGTTGGCCTTTTCAATGAGCTCTCAATGGGCAGTCGACGCGATAAGTTTAGCCTAATCAGGCGGCAATTCTTCGGGCTTCGAAAGTTCCCCGTTGGCTTTCCCGTAGAGCGGTATGTCGGTTAAAATTCTCCTTTTCGTAGGACTCTTCGGTCTAGTTTGGGGTGCAGACCAAGTCCGATATGATAATTACAAAGTCTACAATGTGAGGATCGATGATCTGGAACAGTTTAAGCTGCTCAACTCTCAGGAGAAGTCTTTAAAGGTAGGTTAAGCTTAAACTGATAGAAAATGGAATTCAGTACAAAATTTTGATCATGAAATTTTCCGCTGTCTTTCGTTTTCTAAATTGAACGTAAAGATTTAATACAAAATGTATTAAATTGCATGATTGAATTTGAAAATATTTTATAGATTTATGTACTTTAAATATCATATTCTAATCAATATTTAAATAAACTATAATTATTAAGTTAAATATTTTCATATTTAAATTTAAAATAATTATGAAAAACATAGCGAAAATTATTAAAATTGAATATAAAATCAATGGACTCACTAATTAAATTTCTCATTAACCACAGCTCAGCAGTTGGCGAGAGGCTCGTCACTTGGGTGAAGCCTCGGACATAATGCTACCTCCTCAATATCAGGAGACCTTCGAAAACCTCTTAGCCACACACAATTTCACCTACAACCTCAAGATCGATAATGTCCAGACTCACATCGATAACCAGAGACCCAAACAGCGAATCACTTCCATGGAGTGGACGCAGTTTCACACTCTTGACGAGATCTACGCCTGGCTGGATGTGATCGAGGATCGTTATCCGGATATAGTCACACCCTTCTCTATAGGAAACTCCCACGAGGGCAGACCGATTAGAGGTGTTAAAATTTCCTACAAAGAGGGAAATCCCGTGGTTTTCATAGAGTCCAATATTCATGCCCGCGAATGGATTACCTCATCAACGATCACCTACTTCATCGATGAACTCCTAGTCCCCAGAAACCCGGCCGTTAGAGATATTGCTCAGAATGTCGATTGGTACATTATTCCCGTTCTGAACGTAGACGGGTTTACTTATTCGCACGAAGTGGTGAGTGTTAATTGTTTAAATATTTACGTAATAAAATAATGAATGGAAATGAAAGTGCCGCCGATGCATCGCGATAAGATTTCTGATCAAAAACGCGCCGATATTATTATAGCGCCGCCTATCTTATCGCCTACTACTAACTAGTAATCAATTAGCCGCATTATTGATTGATAATCTCTATTCTCATGACTTGTAGGAACGACTGTGGCGAAAGTCCCGTCTGAACTCGGATCCCACGGGCGAGTGCGTTGGAACCGATTTAAATCGCAACTTTGATTACCTATGGATGTGTAAGTTTTTTTGAAAGGATTTCAGGATACTCAAATAATAACATTATTATATTCAAAGCTGATTTTTATTTCATTATTTTTAATTTTTAGTGACTGGAGCCGATTCGGATCCTTGTTCAGAACTTTATGGTGGACCTTCGGCAGAATCCGATGTCGAGATCAGTCAGCTAACCTCCTATATAAACAACTCCATTCCTGATGGCAGCATTAAGATCTACATATCGCTGCATTCCTATGGCCAGTACGTTCTTTCGCCCTGGGGACATACCGCCCTCGAGTTCCCTGAACACTATCCCCAAATGATGCACGTAGCGAAGGGCTTTTCGGATGCTCTACTTAGGAGATACGGCACTGTGTTTACCTATGGATCCAGTGCAACAACATTATGTGGGTTTTTTGTTTTTTTCGCTAGAATTAATGTAACACATTGTACTACATTTTTCAGATGAAGTCTCTGGCTCGGGCAAGGAATGGGCCTATGCGGTGAAGGGTATCAAAATACCCTATACCATCGAGCTGCGGGACAAGGGCGCTCTAGGTTTCTTACTTCCTCCTGAGGACATTTTACCAGTGGCCCGCGAGGTTACCGAGGGATTTGTGGGCATGATAGCCGCTGCCAGGGAAATTGATATTTTGTAGGTGATAATTAAAATAAAATATATCAAAATTAAAAAAGAACAAAAATTTTCTTTAACATTTTAATAAAAGCGTTTGAATATAAAATAGATATAAAATACAAAAGGTATTTTTCAACATCTTCACATCATTTATTATTTTCTAGAAAGAAACCCCTTTTGCATTGAAAATCTCTCCCCCTTTTGGCGGCGCCACTGCGTCGAGAGCTTTTGCTCCGCCCCAAAAACGAGTCAGTTGCCGAAGCTTCCAATCAGCGACGTCGCCTCGTTTTTGGGGGAAAGCGGAAAAGTCGGGAAAGCGGGGGAAAGGCGAGTTCTGCCGAGCCGAGCCCCGTTCGATAAGGAAGAGGAGGTCCGGGCTGCATTCAGTGCTTTCTTTGGCTTTTTTTCCGGGCTGTGCTTCCGCTGTGCTCCTCGCAATGCCCCAAAGTGTTGTTTTATTTTTATTTTGTTCGCTTGGCCAGAGAGTCTCCGCCTCTTTTCAACGCGCGCGCAGCATCCTGTTGGAAAAGGACTTTGACTGCTCCACCGTTGGGCGCCACATTCACATCTATATGTGCTTTCCATTCCGCTCCTACATGTATGTGCGGGTGAAAAACAATCGCAACGAATGGCAAACGACCAGTGAAAATCTTCAGATTGTCCGCAATATGGCGTCAGTCTTCTTTTGGCACATAGGCTATATATAAAATACATATAGATGGGATATATGGGTAGCTCTCATCACATAGTCCTTGGTCCTCATGTTGTTGTGTACGCTTGCACTTATTTTTTTCAATTTGTCTAATGAAATTGCGTTTTCCACTTGCGTCGCCGGGCATCCAAAAATAAAATAAAAAGAAAATGACAGCAAGAAAAGGAAATAAAATGGCACGAAAAATCTTGAAAAATTCGAGAAAATATAACGTTGACACTTTTTTGCTCTGGCTCCTCGACTGCGAGTCCTTGTGTGTGTGGAGTCCTCATCCTCTGGTGCCCCATGTCCCATGTCCTGTGTCCCGTGTCTGCCTTTTCACTCACTGTTCTCTCTGCATATAAATTGAAATTTACTAACCTCGCTGTCTCCTCTTCTGCTGTTGTCAGTTGCACCTTTATGACAATTTTCCTGCTGCCACTGCCACAGCCACTTCTTTTTTCCTCAGTTTTCTTCTTTTTTTGTGTGTGTTGCGCATATTGCGGTGATGAATTTTTCTCTTTGAGTTAAATGGAAAGAATGCTGCAAAGTTGAGGGAAATGGAAGCCCTAGCTGAAGCTGAACCGGTAGCAATAAAAACTCACTTAGCCAAATTGCAGTAAGCTCAGAGTTAGGGTCTTGAAAGGAGCTCTTCTAATTTGTATAATTGAAATGTCCAAGTAAGATTTACTACCTTAGAGAATTTACTAGATTTATGATTGTGACTTGAAGTATAAAACAGGGACCATAAATAATCATTATTTGAGATTTTTATTTTAAAAAGACTACTGTGTATTTGGTTTTAAACGTCAAAAATACCTATGCATTTTATATCTTTCCAGCATTACATTTTAACAAATCTTTACCAATTATACTGTTATTTTTTGTTATAAAGTATAAAAATTAAATTATTGAGAAAGCCTTCCAGCCCTTTAAAATAAAAATTCAAATAATGATTATTTACGATCCCTGGCTATAAAAACATTTACTACGTACAAGACCTATCCATTTTAAATCTTAGTTACTACTTACATTATACTGTTTAAATTATTAGAAGCCTTCCAGCTTTATAAACATTTTTAATTGCTATAAAAGACATCCATAAATCTCTATAAAAAGTACTTCCGTTCTAAATATTCTAAGAAGCAATTAAAAACGCCTACAAATATGCCTATTTTTTGCTTTTGAAGTTTAATTGCATTTACAAACAATAAATTGAAACCAGTAACACCCAGTGACTCATTCAGACCACAAACTCCCCGCTGAATAACAATTATTTATCCAAACACCAACTCTAATTTGATAATTCAATTATGCATTTCAATTCCCCCGACAGCCAATCAAGAAATCAAATCAAAGTGGATTGATTTTGGTCACATTGAACCGAGCCGAACCCCACCGAACCCCAAAAAAATGGCTTTAATTGCTGCCAAGGCAATAAACTTCAACGGCAATTGACGCTTGACACTTTGAGCGCTTGAGAACCAGCTGGCAACTTGGATATCTGCGGAAAAGAAAGGAAATATATATGGTCTTTAGACTGGGTCTTTGGGCAGGGAAAGTATGACCACGGTGCTTGGATATTCCCAACGCGCGTCATGAAGCTGCGGCGTCTGCGCCTTTTTTGGACGTTTGGCAATGTGATGATGGGATGGTAAAGGATGGCATAGCTATGGAATCGTTTCTTCCGAGATGATCGCATAGTACTGCGCGCATGGCGCTCGAATGGAGATCCCCAGGAGTTATGACAGTCCGGCGAGCTGCGATCCTTAAATGGTAAAAGCGGCAAAGGCTCCGTTTATGGACCGACGACACAGAGACGACGACGCTGGCGTGTTGACAATGATGTTGGATGATTGGTGTTTTGTGCCCGTTTCGCAGGAAAGCCAAGGGTTCCCGTTCCCGTTCTTGTACCCGTTTTCCTGAGAATCATCATCAAACGGAGGAGACAAGAAGGCTCTCTGCATCGCAACGCATCGGTTCTCCAGTCTCCAGTCGCCGCTGCCTTATATGCAACGTCTAGACAGGCTGGAAAAAATCACAGCACAGCAGAGGACAGTCCAGCAGAATCTGAATCAGAATCATTCAGGTAATGCCAAGTTTGGCGCAGAGGCCTTCCTTCAATGATTGCCCCCATGAATGAATGAAGCCAAGAGACTGCAACTCCGCAGTCGCCGGGCTGAGACTGAAACTGAGCAATTAGTATGCGCAGATTGCGATCACTCGGAAGTAATGCTAATTTCTGTTGTCTACCCGGTTACCCAAATGGGTACAAGGAAGGGTACGAGTCGGAGGTGTGGGTATATCGGTTGCTAGTGGGGCATATATGATCGCTTTGTACTCTTTTATATATTTGGAAGATTCTTAGAGTTACGAAGCTTCATTTAAAAATACAAAACAAATAAAGGAATTCATAGATCTATCACTTAAGATATCGACAAGCTCTTAGGATTTATTTAAATGTGAAATGATCATAAGAGGAATTTGAACACACAAAATTACTTTTGAATATTTTTAGATGGAAATATAAATTGAATTTGATCAAAACTTAATTTAAAAGTTTAAAATAACTAAATAAATTCAAAGAAATATCACTTGGAATATCAAATTATAAATGATCATAAAGGAATTTAAAAACACTGAATACTAATATTTGAATACTTCTAGGTCGAATTATAAATTGATTTAAAAGTACAAAATAAATCAAGAAATTCAAAGAAATATCACTTGGGTATTAAATTAAAATTCTTACATGTATTCTAGGTTTAAAGTAGTATCCCTATAATTTATTTTACATTTTATTTGTAATCTTTGATATTGTTATTTTGTTTTTTGTATCAAAGAAAGCGTATTCACAGGTCGTTATCCCTGAAGTCTAGAATCCCTTCTAGGTTTACCTTTCCCATTCCTAGGCCAGCTTCCTTCTCGCATCCTTTGTCATCGACTGGCCGCTGAGCTAGTTTTTCTAAGGTCTCCGGCACTCACTCAAAAAGGCCTGATGCATTGGCCCAGGAGATGTCATTAACATTAGACGGAGCAGGTGAATGAATGCAGCTGACAGATGAAGACAGTTGTGGGTTGGACAAAAAAACAGGAGGGATGAGGACCTGCAGGAGGGGAGGACTCCATTATGCAGGCAGCTTGTCTGTGCCATTAAGAGCGTTAACAGGAGGACATTAGTATCCTGTAGGCAACACCTGACGCAGCGGCAACTTCAACAAGACGAGGTCAACTTCAGACAAAGACATGCAAATGCGATTTAGCCGGGGGAAATGCGGGGAGCAGGGAGCCGGGGAAAACTGGAGCCACTTGGGTCGCCTTGGAAAATAAGAAAACAACTTTTTGCGCTAAGCAGATGAAGGACATTTGCATATACGCCTCGGATGGGACGGTGGACCTCACGCAGGCAGGCAGGCAGCGAAATCAAAAGCTTTTTAAAGGATATTCTCTATAATTTCACGCTTAAAAGGCGCAGTCCGCAGTCCGAGTATCCTGGAACCAGGATGTTTGCTTAGCGGCCCGGGGAAATGGAAAAAAAAACTTAAAGAAGAAGGTACACCCCATTGCGAAAGCAGCCGCTGTTTTACCCACGTGCCAAGCGGCTTAAAGCTTGGAGAACGGCACTCGGCTCGTCCTTCGTCCTTAAGGGACATTTGCATGCGACTTTTAAATCAATTATTGTTAAATATTTATCTCTTGGCAGTCCATTTCGACGGCAGGCTGTCTGTTGGTGGGCATATTATGCTAACATAAATTACATGATTGATTTCATTCGAAGGGCAACAATGGAACGAACGCAACTCACACACTTTTGGCCTGGCAAAACAATAGGGAAAAAGTAAACAAAATGCAAATTCACTGCGGGTTTTGGCTTGATTAAAAAGCTTAGAAATTAGCATATCATTTGTGCAGCTATTTGTTGGCATTTATAAAAATATTGATTGGCTGTAAAGGGGATGTTTCATATTAGGCATTTATTGGGAGATCAAAATGGGAATAGATATTTTAAAAGTTTAAATAAATGATTTTATTCAGTAGTTTTAGAAAATTGTATGATTTTTGTTTACAGGATAAGCCCTAAATATTATGTTTTTAAGAGTTCAAAGAAATACCGATTTTTTACAGAAGTTTTAGATTTTTTGTTTATTTGAGTTAAAAGGATAAACCTTCAAAAAAATTTAAAATGTTATAAATGGGAGGCTTTAATTTATATTAATTTACCTACTATTCATTTTAACTTATTTTATTTTGCCAATAATTTATGTATATTTTTTATTGTCGAAACTTTACTTTCTGCACTTCCTTAGAAAGTTACTGTTTGCGCCACACTCATTTGGGACCTTCAACTTTTGAAGTGCCCCATGCCTCAACTTTTACCCAACTATATATTTAGCTACCTTGGGGTCCGTATTTATTTTTATTTCTTTTCGTATTTTATTTTTTACGCTCCTTGAACGCTGAACGCTCCTCTGCGAGGCAGTAGCATCGTGTGTTTTGCTCACTGGCGCGTTGACATCGCCATCAAAATGCTTTGACGTGGTTTTTGATTGACAGGAAACTCATAAATAATTCATGTCATTAAATCATGTTACATTTTTTCTTCTCTCTGGGACAGAGGAGCTCCTCTGCTTTCGGTCCTCTTATTCTGCAGCATCTTCAGGACCGGCCATTGAAACGAGTTTCTCCAAGTGGAGTGGCGGACATTTGGGCGCAGCTCTTCTCCGTTTCTCAGTTCTCAGTTTCTGCCCCACCAGTCGCCAACGACTCTTCTTCACTGCAGTTCTCTAGCAATTAAATGTCAAAAACTGTTTCTCTTCTCGCCATCTTCCGCGATGTAACTCAATTCAGCTCTCGGATTTCTTTTGCCCGCGATTTTCCCTCTTTTTTTTAATATTTTCCTGCTGCGGAAAACTTGAAGAAAATAAGTTTTCAATGAATATAATTATGCAAAGCAGCCGGCAAGTCGCACTCCACTTGGCTGGACCTTAAGAGGCTCTGGAAAAAGGACATTAAAATTATATAAAAGCAGCTTGGCGAAATTTAAATATTTCACCCACTTCTCCCTCATTTCCGCGCTGTCATAATATTTTATTATTGCTTGTTTTAATTCCTTGTTTCATCATTTCACAATTTCTGATGTTTTATTTTCGTTTCGTTACGTTTCTCCTCTCATCTTTTTTTCCGCCTTGTCAATTGTCCTTCAGCGAAAAGTTTTTAATTTTTATCAAAAGATTTCTTGTGCTGCTGCTGTTTTTAATGAAATTTTGTCGCTGTCCTGTAAAGGATTGGTCCTCGAATTTGCATAATTTTTTTTCAGCCATTTTTAATTTGTGATTTGCGGCAGTCGAGTGAGGGTCCTTATAAACTTTTCTTGGGAATTTTTCCCGTTCGGGATCCTTATTAATTAAAGACTTGTAGGTGGGTCTGTTCTAGTCCTTTAAAAATATTGAAAACATTAAATCATTGACTTAAGTTAAGGTTTTCATAGTAGTATTTTCATTGACACTCGAATAATTTCTGGATATTGATTTCCCCTTATTTTAATTAAAGTGATTTATGACTTTGCAGTTTCCAAATATTTATTTTATCTATTTTAATGTTTAATACATAAAATCATGCTTATATAAAATATCATCATATCTATCTAGAACCAATTTATTTCCTTCAGAATAGATTCCCATCCATTAACAAGTCGTAGGATCTTCTGGCTGGTTTCAATCTGCCAAATCATTTTAATTGCTTTGCCGCACTTTCGAGCTTGGGATGTCCTCCCCAAGAGCCCCCGGAATATCGAGGGCTTAGCCTTTGTTGTTGGCGATTGTGTGCGGCGATAATAATTACACGTCACGCTGCCACGCAATCAAAACATTATTTGTGCAAAATCACGGAACTGAACTGAAGCGGAAGTGATGAAGGACTTATTGGCTGCACGCGTTCGCCGCCAAGGCAAAAAGTTTAAAAAATATTTTCGGCTGGGATGGCACCCCATTTGCATTGCACCCAAGAGTCTCCGGATCGGAAGGACTCCGTCCCGTGTTAAATTCAACACAACGCGTGCGGTCACGTGGCTGGCGGACACGCCCACTTTCATGATAGTCACAATCGACGGAAGGACGAGATTTAAACAAAACGCTGCCACCGCACATCAAACGTCATTCACTGCCTTTGCCCCTCATCGAAAATCATCAACACCACCATCACTCCAAAAAGACAGTGGGAAATGAGGAAAGAGCTGCGGAAAATCGCTGAAAATTATGTAAATTGTTTTTTGGGGGCCGGAGATCGAAAGGAGTGCGAAAATTTGCCTAAATGCTGGCAGGACTCCCCAGCAGGCTCACAATGTTGCAGACAGCGGGAGAAATGCCAAACAATGTGACAGAAACATATGTTGCCATTATCAGCAGTTAACCAAAAGGACAATCCTTTCACAGGGATTCCCGTAATTCGGGGAAGTCTGTGTGGATAAAGCTGCTTTTGGGTTGAAATGGGGCTTCAGTTAGACGGAGAATAACTATATTGTTAGTTATTTATATTTAGCAAATACAATCAAACAATTTTATGTATTAATTTTTTTTTCTCTGCCTAAATTTTTATGTTTAGTTATATATTTTAAGGCCTTTAAGAATTTCAATTAATTTTATGTTTAAAAACCTATTTCTTAAAAGATTTAAAGTCATTTTAGAGCGTTCGTATGTTAACAAGATTTTATGAATAAACAGGATGTAATTTTATAAATTTACCATTCTTCATTGAATTCAGATCCTTAGCGAAAGCGTCTCCTTTAATTCCACCTAAAATCATTAATAAAAGACTGCAAATCCCACCACGTTTCGGTTCAATCGTAAGATCAATGGGAAGATATCATTTCGCATTTGTTGTATATTACTTCCTGTCCGCCATGGCCATATATGTACATTTCATATTTTTCCCACCAGTCCGAGATGTCCTAGATGTCCACCCCTTGAGAACGACACAGTCGCAATTCCTGCCCCCTGACGACACACGTCCGTGGCAATAAAAGCGCAAACGTTTCAATTCCGTTGCGGCTGACAAATGCACGGAAGAAATGCCAGCGATTCTGCCCCAAAAATATATTAGAATGATAAAAAAAATCGAGAGAATGGAAACGGACCAAAGTTTATCTCGATGCTGCCGAGTGTTTTGATTTGTAACGTTTCTCACTTCATTATTATGCAATAAATAATGCCATCTACATGTCCCATCTACTGTAATGCAGAAGGGCGGGTTTGCAGGGGGTTGTTGACTGGTCCTGGTTTTTCTGCTCAGCGGAAGTGGAGCGAAGCGGTGGTCAGAAAATCACTGCTGTGGAAATTAATGAGGCCTAACATGACGGGGCGCGACTTTTTTGAAAATATCTTTTTGCTAAATGGGAACAAAATTTTGTATCTTAAACCAAAAATAAATAATGAGAAGCAATCCATCAAACAAGCCTATTTATTTCGGATTAAAATTTAAAATATTAAAAAGTTCAGATAAAAATGTATATTTTTGGAGACCTTAAAAAAGATATCGCTATGAAAATAACTACATTTAAAATTGTATTATTGCAAATCATTGGACTATTTGTAAAATCAAATGGTTTGACTAGAATTATAATCCTTATACACTTTTTTAAATTTCTTAATTGTTTTTTCATTTTAAATTTAGGTCGGATTGTAGTGCCAAATATAAAAGATCGGCTTATAATTGGGATGCGTAAATATATAAGATCGGCTTGTAATATAATACAATATAATAGTATAATATACACACATATTCAAAACATACGATAGCTTTATAAACTAGTTAATTTAAATGAGGATAACTTTAGGTATAACACTGTTAAGCCTTACGAAAGGTTATTAAGCTCTAAACTTTTAATAAGGGTTGCTGTATAACACTCTGCGAAGTGGCTGACCTCTGCAGGGGGTTTTTGGAGATTCTGGACCAGCTTTCGCGTTGCCAATTAAATGGAAAAGTTCAGAGCGCCAAACTTAAAGCTTACTCCACCACCCCCAGAGGGGTAGCTTTGGGGAGCTTAAATCGAAATCGCCTGCCTTGCCGAAAGCTCCAGCGGTAGCATTGAACCCCTGTGCGAAAGCTCCGCCGGAAAACCCACCCCCATTTCACTGAGCACTCGCCTTCGTCATGGTGTGTGTTGGCATGCCGCTCTCCCCAAAGGCACAGCACAAAACTCGCTCTTCTCTTCGTTTTTTTGTGACACAAAGAGGAGTGTCAGGCAGCATAAATTTCAGCATACAAAATTCCACACACTCGCAACGCGTCGCAGATACTTTTCGGCAAAGTTTTCCGCAGGAAAAGCCAGTGTAAATAATTTGAAAACCCCGAGAAAAATGGCAAACAGTTCCTCTTAGTTTTTAGCGGATTGGTGTAAATAGATTGCTGTTCGTCTAGCGGTAAATAGTGTATTTGTAACTGTGCGTTGGTTCTCAATGGGCCAAATGCGCCCAAGTGGTCAAATGAGATAAATCAAACAAGTTTCTTTTGGGGCGAAATAAAACGGCGGCCACCCGAGAATCGCCACGGGAATGGAAATTAAATGAAAATCCGGCAATCATAAATAAAACATAAATTATGTTTCGCTGCCAGTTGGCGGCAACAAAAATAAAATGATCAAAAAAAAAGAAGATGTGAACCAAGCGGATATATTTTGATTTTTTTTTATAAATAGAAAAATCAATTTCGCACGCGAAGAGAGAGCCGAAACTCTCACCAGCACACACACACACCTTTGCTCTCCATCTCTCTGGCGCGCGCCTGTCTGTGTCTGTCTTCCCCCAAAGGTGGAGCATGTGTGTGTGTGTGCCTCCCCGTCTCCCGTGTCGGTGTCTATTATAATATCCAGTGAGCGAAAGAGCGAGCCAGCGAGCAGCCGAGTGCTCTCGCTCTTTCTGCGAATAATTGAATATAATTCAAGTGTTTTTGTTGCACACTATTTGTTGTGCTTATTATTGTTATTATTTGTTTAAATTAGCAACAACAACATAAACAACAAGACGCGCGCGATTGTAACTAACTCGGGCCACCTTCAAAGGCCAAAAACAACATCAACAACACACACAAAGGTTCTCCTTGAGAGCGAACTGAGAATTGTGCTGCAGCCCTGGTCAAAAACCCTTTTATGGGTTTGTCCTGTTTACAAATTGACGCTGCAAATTGAATTTATAGCACGACTGAAACAAGTGGTTGAGTGCCAGCCAGGGACCCACTTAATTTCCGTTACAGTCCCCAAAATACGAAATACAGAAGACAAATAAATAAGGGAAATGATAGTACAGTGGAAGCATGTACTAGTGAACTTTTGAATTTTTGCAAACTCAATATAATCAAGGCCCAATTCTCTAGAAAAAGAACTAAAAAAAGTCCTTTGGAGAATGAGTGTCCTTTGATGTTCCAGAATGCCAAAGCTGGAACCCCTTAAACAAAACAAGTTTTTGAAATCCTATAAAAAAACTTTTTCTTAAAGTCATAAGTGCCATATAAACTAGAACTTTTTTTTGATTAAAAAAAATTCAATAATTGCTTTACTGCGAGGAACTTTTAATTACCACTAACTTATTAAAATTATTCATACATATGCAGAAAAATTTTTTTAATTACCCTTGACAAATTAACTCCTAAATCATCATAGCATTTCCAAAAATATTTAAAATCTTAAAACACCTTGACATTAGTCTTATTTGATCACCTTCTTATTTTACTTCAGCTAGCCAAGTTGGCCTGTACTTGGTTTGAACTGGAAATAGGTGGCTGGTTGAGTGGGTGGCTTGGGTGGTATTTTCCCTGAGAAAAACTCACGCACAAATGTATTTCCCCCCGAGGAGCATTTGCTGCCGCTGCCGCTGAATCTTTCGAAATTGACAACGGCAGCAGCGACAGCAACAGCAAAAGCAACAGCAACAACAGCAAATCAAATAAATTAAATTTACACACATAGTTAAATTAGTGAAAATTGAATAAAACAGAAGAAAGAATAGACGACAAACGTAAATAAAAGACAGCCCGAACGAGAGGTGGAGAGTGACGAGCGACAGTCAGAGCGCGGAGAGCAACGTGTCGAGCAACAAATTAATAATAAAAAAATACAAAAATAACAAAAAAAAACACAAATTGAAACACAACAACAAACGCAGAAGCGGCAGCGATTCTGGATTTCTAGAGGCAGCGGCACATTCAAAAGATGGGCTGTGGACAGAGCAAGATACATTTGTATCCCAGGAAATCGAAGAGTAAAGCGAACGGCAAGAAAGGAGGACATGGTGAGTACACAGAAAGAGAGTATATCCTTTGGGGCCTGACATTATGAGATCCATATATTGTGCACTGGGAAAAAGTCATTCCAAGATTCCAATTAATAGAAAAAAAATAAATCCAAAATTACAAAATTTTCCATTCAAATCAAATTAACATATTTTTACCAATAATCAATGGATCTTTAAGAAGTCTATATTTATTAGAGAACAGTTCAGTTTTTATTTCGATTTCTCAACCTATATTTCATGGCGTTCTATTTTGCGTATTAAGAATTGATATTGTTTTGATACTTTTTAATATCCCCATCGTTTGAAAGGAAAAATATGGTAACGATCTACAAAATATCAACATTTTCTTCTCTGTAGAGAAAGGGAAATGGGGGAAATGGCGAGGAAAATGTATTGCCTCGCACAACAAAAGCTTACACGCATGACGACATCAATTTGCCTCCAGCTGTGTGTGTGTGTGTGTGTGTTCGTGTTCCTGTGAATATATATGTGTATGTGTGAGCCACCTGTTTCCACACAATGAGGACATCATTGATTAATATGTCACCAGCAGTGGAAAATAGAGGTGGAGGAGGGGGATGTGAAAGGAGAAGCCCAGTTTTAAGGCCATGCATTCACCAAAGTAATAATAAAGGCCTACATTTTAAAGCCCAGAGAATTGTCTATATATAAACCAAAAAACACACACACATACACAATAGCGTGTGTTTGCTCTTAAGTTTATAAAAACGTAAAACCTAGCCTACATGGAGAACTTTTGACTATGCCCAACCCCTATCTGTGTGTGCCTGTTTCTTGTTTTTTTTTTTGTATTTTTGTGTGTGTATAATTAACTGCTAAAAAGGCAACTTGTTGTTGCACTGGGCGCCGCTTCAAGGGGTGTGGCCAGCCCCCAGGCCCCCTATATTTGTGTGTGTGTGTGTGCCAAAGGGTTAAAGCTAAAAAAGTATAGCATACACAAAGGCGCCATTGTGCCATAAACGACCCAAATTTTTCGGAGGCGCCTTTAGTCTCGGTCCCAGATTAATTATTCATAATACTCGTCGGCTCGCTCTCTTTGAATTTGCATTAAAATGCATAACGGTTTTTAATTAAATTTATGGGTAGCAGGGCCACTTCAAAGAAAGGCCCAAGGAAATATTAAGTATACGCAGGTCAAGCCGAACGTTGCGGATGATGGATTAGCAAAGGAAGGACGAAGATGTAAATAAAGGATGTAGAGAGCTAGGAAGCAAGAAACTGAGTTTTTTTTTTTATTTTGAAATAAATATATTTTTGTTTATCTTTATTAGTTAAAGAAATATTTAAATTATTTTTATTGCTAAAAAAAATGTAATATAGAACCCTTAGTTTTTCTGAGTGTTTATACCTACATATGTCCTAGCATAATTTCTACAAGTGTTTTCTAAGCATTTTTCTCGACTTCCCTCCCCTCTCGAAGAAGTTGCCCCACTTGGTTTATTGCAAAACTTTTGCCACTTTCTGTGGCACTCGCGAAATTGCCCACTCATCTTGACTAATGCTCGAAACTCTTCTTTGGCATTATCCATTTGTTTGGCAGCCGACTCAGATGCCGAAACGGACGAGGACGAAGGCCACATCGAGGATGCCGAGAAGGCACAGCAACGCGACCGCGAGAAGCACGACGAGAGCGAGGAGCTAAGCAATAAGGACATCCAGGACAGCGACGAGGACGTGGCCGTCTCCCTGCTGCGCGCCAAGAACCTATCGCTGCTCCAAAGCCAGTAAGTCGTCCCTCTGACCGCCAAACCGAAAATAAACACCTCACTATTCCAGGGAAATATCATCTAGCCAACAGAACTTCTTCCGCATGCTGGACAAGAAGATCGACGAGGTGAGAGACCACTTGAAAATAAAGAACACCTGGGGCTTTGTTATCTAAGTGTTTAGGGGATCCCCAATATTTTCCGTAGATGCTTAGACGTGTTTAAACACTTTGAAGTGTTTCCAGCGCTTTGGTTTATAGAATAGAAAAAATATATGTTTAGCCATAAACACGGTATAAGAAAATTCATTGACCCAAAATATGTACTCAAAATAAAATTTAAATCTTGAAAGCGCGCATGCTATAAAATAACACAATTTATTGATTAAAACATGAAAATATATATTTATAAAACCTATTAAAATGAATAGGATCACAATATAATCTTATCCAAAGCCTTTGTTGATTTTGAAAATAGAATAACACCCCATTAGTCTTATGTTGAACAAGTAAATTGGCTTAAATAGTCATAATATTGATATGTAATAGGCTGTTCCGTGAGAATAAACAAATGGCTCGCTGCCCAATGTTCAAAATATAAATGTACTAAGTATTTGGTTGCGCTAAATTGGAACAGGAAAACAATTGGTTTTATGGCATCTAATTTGTATTTTTTCGGACAACATGTAGAGGAACCATTAAAATTCGCTTGTTACCTGAAAATCAGACTTCAAAGAGATGAGAAAACATGCACAGAAAGGAAAACATATAGGGTATTTTGATTAATAAATAAATACCAAAATATGTTCTACAAATTATAAATTTAAAAACATGCACAGAAAGGAAAAAATATAGGGTATTTTAATCAATCAATATTTTTGAAAGACCAGAAATAAATTCTACAAATTATAAAATTAAATATTTAATATTTCTCAACGATAACTAATCGTAATTAAAAATCTGATAAATTTAAGAAATCTTAGTACGATTATCTAACATAAATTAAAATTAGAAAACATTTTATTTGCCCTTTTTTTCTGTGTGATGGAAAATTTTTTTTATAACAAAACCTATAATTTTTTCTTTTTTTGTGAATCTGGCTAAACTCATTCGTACTTTCCAGGGGCCCGACTACGACTCGGCCAGCGAGACGGAGATCGCTTTGGAGGAGGCCCGACTGAACGCCCTGCGTCAACACTGGGAATCCGCCAGCATCACGGCCTCCATCTGCTCCTCGGCCAGCCGATCGCTGCAGACGACGCCCATCCGCCAAGTGCAGGTGCCGCTGAAGCAGCCGCCCCGTGGAGCTGGCCTGCTGCTCCAGCCTTCAAGTGCGGCGACGGTCACCGCCTCCTCCTCGACGATAGTCACGCTGCCCACGACGGAGTATCTACCTCAGCATGTGATGGCGGGGCGGCAGCAGCAGCAGCAACAACAGCAACAACAGGCGGCAGTGCTCTACCAGCAGCAAGAGCAGCAGCAGCAACTAATCCTGCTGCCCCAGTTGGATCCTAATGTTGTTGTCAACACGTCCACGGCGGCAGCAGCGGCACAGCTCGTCCAGTTGCAGCAGCAACATCAACTCAGTCAGCAGCAACATCAGCAGCAACAGCAACAGCAACTCAGTCAGCAGCAACAGCAACTGTACCAGCAGCAACAGCAATATCTGTTGTCCCTTCCCGCCGGAGCCAAACCGCAGAGCGTGAGTCCCAAGCGCCTGATCTACGGCAGTACCGCTGGTCCAACAGGTCCACCGGGCAGTAGTACCTCTGTCTGTCCGCCGCCGGCACCGCCTCCTTCCGTTCAGTATATTGCCACCGGGCCATCGAGCGGTGGCTTCCTCAATGGCGCCGGCGCCATTTCCGGTATCGCAGCGGGACGAGGACCCCTGCAGCTGGCCTACTACGGTGCCGCCCCTCCGAGCACTGCCCCTCCGACGGCGACGTCCATCCTAACCAACGCCCCCGAAACGTACGAACCGCCAACCGCTCCACACAGCCAAATTCAGCAGCAGCAGCAACAGCCACCACCTCCTCCGCCAGGCGCCTACTATGGCGAGATGATGCACGGCGTACAGGTGAGTGATCCAAGAATAATATTCATCCCGTGAGAATGTCACTCGTGACATCCGTCATTCATCACCGTTCTGAAATAAATTCTTCAAGAATGAATGGAATTCTATCTCTCAGGAATTAATATTTTTTATTGAATTTTTGAGTTGAAAGTCCCTCTGTAATCTTTAACAATCTTTATTTAATTAAAATGTCACTAATCGTCATTCATCACCGTTTTTAAATAAATCTCTTCAAGATTGAAAGGAATGCTATCTCTCTTTAACTTAATATGTTTTTTTAATGCAATTCCATTTTTGATTTTAATTTTTCAGTTGAAAGTGCCCTACTAATCTTTAACAATCTTTAGTTTAATTAAAATGTCACTCGTGACATCCGTCATTCATCACCGTTCTGAAATAAATTCTTCAAGAAATAAAGGAATTCTATCTCTCTTTAACTTAATATGTTTTTTTAATGCAATTCCATTTTTGATTTTAGTTTTTGAGTTGAAAGTGCCTTTACCAATCTTAAACAATCTTTTTTTTGATTTAAATCTTTCAGTTGAATGTGCCTTACCAATCTTTAAAAATCTTTCGTTTAATTTAATTACGCCGAAATGAAAACTCTTATTGTTACTGATTCTATTTATTCTACAACCAATCTAGCTATACAAATTTTAAATTCGTTAAAAAAGTTATTTTCATTTACATAGAAGAATTTTCAAGTAAGATATAGTGTAAGCTCTACTCTCTAGGGTTTTATTAGTGTAACGGTAAAAAACAAAACTAAATTTTCTTGAAAATTAAATATTTTCTTTGATCTAATATATTTATCCCCTCTTTTTTTAGCCCGCTCCAACGGCGGAATATAAGTTCCCGCCTGCCATCAGCGTTCAGCGACTGGCACCGCAAGTGCAGCGGCAACTGCGTGAGACGCAGGAACTCATAAAAGACTCGTGCCCTCAGCTGTATGCAGCAGGATATGGCAGCCCAGGACCACCGATACGCAATCCCAGCAGGAACCCCTCTAGAACTAGACCCACCCTGGAGACCCAGTTCTCGCAGGAACTCTCGTGATATCTATATATGTAAACAGCCAGCAGACGGAGGATGCACCCACGTTCAGACACACACACAGTTGGAATAAAAACTGCAGCCAAAGATGAAAGCTAAAATTAACCAAAATTATAAATCGAACCCCATGACAAAAATCCAAGAAAAGCCAAAAAAAAAAAAAAAACGAAAAATCGAAGAAAATCAATTAAGAAATTGTAAAACTGCACTCAATGTTTCAGACCCTCAGAACAACCCCCGGTGGGCAGATCGAGCCCCCTATATGCGTACTACTTACAACAAACAAGATGAGCAACTACTAAACCTATGCGGAGCAACAAATAAAGCATTAAACTACAAGAATATTCAAGAGGCAGCCAAAGAACCGAGCAGATAGGATAGGGATGTAGCCAGTTGGATCAGAAAGCGCAAGGTACATAGATTTAGGAATCGAGGAGTATAGCGTTATAAAGCGATATATATGCAAATGCCACAAAGAGGATGCGGAGTAGGAGGAGGATAGAGGATAGAGGATAGAGCCCGAACAAAGCAAACACAAATCATACAAAGTAAATAATATAAAGTGTAACAAACAAATGACTTCTACATTCTCACGCAATTTTGTTAGTCATAAATCTCATGGTGTAATTTTTTAACAAATATTTTCCGTCAAATTCTCGAAATGGTGTAACGTTGAGGATGGAGACGATAGAATATGTTCGTTGGATATGCAATTAACGGATGAAGCTGTCTAGTAATATTTGTATAATTTAGTTCTATTTATTATTATGATAATTTTGGATGTATGATAGTTTTTCTTATATGGAAATATATATATATATATTTAAAATGGAAAATAAAAGCAAATCAATTAAGTTTAAGCCCCCATCGTCTTGATTTTCAGTGGGAATAAATAATAACAGTAGGTTGAACTTCTAATTAATTCCTTTATTTATATCTTGTTATCAATTCATACTTATGGGCTCACATAAAATGGAATTACATTTTATTTTCTGAAAGTATTTAGACGATTCGTTTTGTTATGTTGTTTGTTTATTTTGTTATTGTGTGAAAAGTATCCAGCTAAGCAATTCATTAGACTAGTCACATAATATGGTTTAAGATGACATAATAATACGCATTTGATTCTAAGAAATTGACATTGTTTCTTATGTGTACGTGTACGTGTATGTCCGATAGTGTGAAAGGTGTGCGGGAGTGTTTTCCCTTCTAGTGTTTCCTAGTAATCCGATTGTATCTAATCTCTTTTGGCTTGGGTTTGGTTGGAGCATTGCAAACATTTCTTTTGCAGTGTATGAATAGATAGGTACAATATTCGAGAATTGTATAAGGAAATCAAATACGCCCAGGGCTGTGGAAAGATAAATGCCAACAACATCGATGATCGGCACTCGAATGCCCTAACAATTTGACTAAACCAAAAGCTTATCAACTAAATTGGGTTTTTTGGGGAAACAAAGAGAGATTTATCAAATGAAAAGCGTATTTGATTCCAGATTAAACCATATTATATAGCTATGATGTGGGCGGAGGAGATCTACACGAAACGTACATTGACGACGCTCATCTCAAACATCTTCCCTCTGAAGTCTGAAGTTTGAAGTCCCTGGACTTGTTTTGTAATCGTGACCTGTGTACATTTATACTGGGTGGGTGTACGGATGTGCGTGTAATGTTCGTGTGGGGAAAGGAAATTACAGTAGAGCAGGATCTACAATTTGGTAGCCTCTTTTCAACTATAGAGCCTCTAGTTCTGCACGGGCAGCGGGGGCGGCGGATAGGCAAAGATATCGCCACCGTTCGCCATCATATAGGGAGCCGCCTGCGTGGGAACTGCATACTGAGCGCGGTACGAATTGGCCACCGCCGTTGCTCCTCCGTTCAGCGACACGGTTGCCATGCTGGAGGACATCGACGAGTACTGGCCATACGCCTGTGGTGTCTGTTGCTGGGGTGTCTGCTGCTGCTGCTGCTGCTGCAACTGTTGCTGCTGGGCGGCAGCCGCGGCCGCCTGTTGCTGGTTCATCGGTGGCGGGGGCATGTTGGCGAAGTTCATGTTGTATGGCGAGAAGCGGGAGCGCTTCTGATCCACCCCGTAATTCGCGGCTGCCATCGCTGCCTGAACAGATGCATCGGGCAGCAGATGTTGCTGCTGGGCAGCCTGTGCCTGCTGCTGCTGTTGTTGCTGCTGATGCTGCGCCTGTGGCGGCACCGATCCCGGAGCACTCTGTGCCTTGTTGGGCTCAAAGCAAGCGGCATTCGGATTGAAGCGCGAGAAGGGCACTCCACCGCCCTGCTCCTGCTGCTGCTGACCCTGGTAGCCACCGCCTCCCTGGCCACCACGGTATCCTCCCTGGCCGCCCTGGTTCGGCGGCGAGGTGCGTGGCTTCTGGTCGAAGCGCGGTGGTCCACCAGCACCGCCACCGTTGAAGGCATTGCGATTCATGTTGCCACCGGGACCGTTGTTGTTGCGGTAGTTGTTGCCGCCGTTGTAGCCGCCACCCATCTGCTGGTTGCGACCCTGGTAGCCGTTGCCTCCGCGGTAGCCACCACCCATGCCGCCACCGCGCTTGTTGTAGCCGCCGCTCATGGCCATGTTCATCAGTTTGGGGTTGATGGTCTGTTGGGGGAGGAAAGAGAAAAGCGTAAGTACTTGGATCTGCTTAAAAAGTTACAAAAAAAAAGGATTGGATTCAGGGGAGTTTCGAAAATAACGATTTATTTCGATATTTTCACCATATTGTATCGATAATATCGATGATTTCAATGGAAAAAATATCAAAATTTTTTTATTTTTCAAGAGCTTTTAATAGAGTTTAAAAAATATCGATTTTTTCGATATTTTCACGATATTGTTTTGATAATATCGATGATTTCAATGGAAAAATATCGAAATTTCGAAATTAATTTTTCAAGAGCTTTGTTATTTTAATAGAGCTTAAAAAATAAATACATTTTTTCGATATTTTTACAATGTTGCTTCGATAAAATCGATGATTTCAATGGAAAAAATATTGAATTTTGTTATTTTTTCAAGCTTTACGTCTATAGCTCCCAGGATCACGATCAAACTCACCTGGTTGGCCTCGCGCAGCACCTGGATCAGATCATTGGCCTTGTTGGCGTTGGAGTGCGTGAACAAGGTGTAGGCCGTGCCGGTGTTATTGGATCGTCCGGTACGTCCAATGCGATGCACGTAGTCCTCCGAGTTCGAAGGATAATCATAGTTGATCACAAACTTGACATCGTCAACGTCTGTTTGAGTTCAATTACATTTTTTCATTTCGAATTTGAAAATTGAAGAAGTGTGAAAAGAAGCGTTAAAAATGTCGAATCGAATCAATGCGTCGAAAATAGGAATCTTTCTCAATACTCAAGAAACTATTCAACAAAAACGAAAAACTTATTTGTGTGTGTATGTTAGGTGTATGTTAGGTGTATGTTAGTGTGTCCGTGTTTTCTGTCTTGGTGTGAGTGTTCGATTCGGTGCGATCATTTGTTTTGGTTAAGTTTGTTAATAGAACTTAAAATATACTTGATCGAATCGTTGAATGGAATTTGTCGGTTGGTAATTCAGTTTGGATTTTTCTTTTTTTTTTTTGGTATGTTTTGTACTTTGAACAAAAATTTCGCCATCAATACTATTAGCGTATATTAATAACTATACATCTTTGGCAAATAGATATATGTTTTTTCTATACTGCAGAAATGTGGACCTCGACCTTTTCTTCTCATCATACTTTCATATCTTTCTTTTTTTTTTTAAAAAAAAAAAAAAAAAAAAAAATAAAAAAAAAAAAAAAAAAAAAACTTGATTAAAATTAATATTATAATTGGTAATATAAAGTAAAACAAGAGAAAATATAGGTCCCGACTATCGTACAGTTACTCGCTAAAGGGGGAGATGGATAAATTTGATCCGCCGTACTTTTAACGAATGGATTTTTCTTCTCATCATACTTTTATATCTTTCTTTTTTTTTCAATACACAAATCGTAATATAAATGTTTAATTGCTTCTACATTTCGTAGGTTTCCACAAAACTGTTTACTTTCCAAAATATTGACATTTTTAAAATAATAAAAAAGGGATTGGGGGGTTAAGGGGGGGGGGCCCCCCTTTAAAAAAAAAAAACCCCGGGGGAAAAAAAAAAAAAAAAAAAAAAAAAAAAAATCTTTGTTTATAGTTTCGGATCTACGTGCATACAGACAGACAGACGGACAGACAGACGGACAGACGGACAGACGGACAGACGGACAGAGGACATGGCTAGAACGACCCGGCAGCTTGATTAAGAATATATATAGTTTATAGAGTAGGTAACGCTTCCTTCTACCTGTTACATACTTTTCACAATCTATAACCCTTTTTAGAGTAACGAGTAAAATGAATGATCAAAGCTTATGATAGAGGGTGCGCTGGTCTTTCGAAGGAGGGACAAGATGGTTAGATACTTCGATGGGAAGATGGGAGGGAGAAAGGGGTGCGGACATATTGCTATGATTAGGAAGAAGTAAATTAGCCTAGTACTTACCCCCTGACGATCTAGGGATAGAATGGATTAGAGTTAGGCTTACGCACAAGAGTCCCTGGAGATCCGGTCCTCGCAACGGGGTCGTGATGAGGGAGATCCCACGGATCTCAGCAATGCTAGAAACTTATAACTCAACCCTCAACTTGTATATATAGCTTTTTTCTTTAACTGCTTTGTGTATATAACTTTTTAACTTTAAACTTTTTTTTTTCTTGTTTTGCCATTTGAAAAATCGAAGTCCATTTCATAAGGTGCTGATGATATTTTTGTTCACACACAAATTTAGGTTTTATACATAGAGTAAGGAGCGACGTAATATATAGTATAAGATACTTTATGATACATAAATAAGCTACAGAAAATTATCATCAGTCAAAAAATTCTTGGGCCGCAAAATATTGCAATTACTCAATACCATTAGTTAATTCATATTGTTCTATAAACTAAAAAAAAAATAAAAAAAATATACAAATACTTTTAAGGCACTGTTTAATTGGTTCGCCTTGGATTATAGGGTTATTTTTTTAGGGTGCACTGAGATTATTTACTTTTGATCTTTTCTTTTAGATTATTTTGCTGGGCCATTGACTCCTTGACTGACAGTAAGTTGCTTTATACGATAAGGTTACGCAAAATGTGATTGACGAGACACAACTAAAAACTATGAGCAAGAGAGCAACAAACGAACTAAAAGTATACAACATCATATAACCAGCAATGCATGGAGAACAAACACATTCCCCTCATTATTTGAGCCCACACCATTTCTTCGTATTCGTATTCGGAGAAAAATTCAGCAGAAACTAAAGGGATCGAGAGGAACTTAGCGGTCCACCAGGAATCGAACCACTCGAAAAATATCGAACTAAAGCCCACACGTTCCCGAAAAATAATTATAATTAGCAGATCTTCGGCTGTTATGAATTCGAACATGCAAAAAAAAAGAACAATCGGTCTTCTTCCGGTTTTCACTTTCACTAAATTACACAGTTCGCTAGATAGTCAGTTGGCCAGTGAAAAGCTTAGTAAATTTCGCTTAGCTGCCCGCCTTTGAAATATCATAATTTTCAACTGAATATCCTGGAATTAAAGAAACGTTTAGAATATTTAAGAAAAATCACAGTCAAGCGGAAATGCAGCTAGGCGAAATGTACTGATGGAGCTTTTTTACAAAAACATATTAATGTTTAGCTAACTTTGTAAATTAATCAAAAACAAAATATGAATATTTACACGCTGAAATGTGAAACCCCCTGAATCATTCCGCTACCCGGGAATAGTTCGATTTCGTTTTGAGCTCAAATCGAGAATATGACTTGTGAAATCCGGAACAGACTCGAACTCGAAAGACCTCCAAAGTTCTGGAAACAGAGGGCGGAACGGAAGAGCGAAGAGGCTGGGCGGTGTTGGCCGATTCATCGCTGACGGATCGCTGAGACGTCGTCGACGACGAATCACAAAATAATGAATGAAACCCCACGGGATGCTGATTGATCCACAGGCAACAATTGCTTGGTTACGGAGAGAAAAAACGGAAATAGGAGCCCCAGGCAAAGGCTACTACGTTTACTCACCGAGTCCGCGGGCAGCCACATCGGTGGCCACCAGGATCGAGTGCCGGCCATTGCGGAAGCTCGAGAGCACAAAGTCGCGCTCCTGCTGCGACTTGTCGCCGTGAATGGCGCAAGCGCGCCAGCCCTGCCGCGAGATATTGCGCGTGATCTCGTCCACGCGCTTCTTGGTCTCCACAAAGATGATCGTCTTGGTCTCGTTCTCCGCCGAGATGTCCGTGAGCAGCTTGATCAGCTTCATCAGCTTCTCGTTCTCATCGCACACGTCGACGATCTGCAGGATGTTGTGGTTGGCGCTCAGCGACAGCGACCCAATGTTCACCTGTATGTAATTGTTGAGGAACTCCTCGGCCAGCTGGCGCACCTCCTTCGGCCAGGTGGCCGACCACATGAGCACCTGGCGGTCCGGGCGAATCTGCTGCATGATCTTCCTGATCTGCGGCTCGAAGCCCATGTCCAGCATCCGGTCGGCCTCGTCTAGAACCAGATAGGTGCAGCGCTTCAGCGAGGTGGTTCCCCGTTCGAGGAAATCAATCAATCGACCAGGTGTGGCAATCACAATCTCCACGCCACGCTCCAAATCCCTGGCCTGCTGGCCCTTGGGGGCTCCGCCAAAGATGCAGGTGTTGCGCACATGCGTATTGCTGCCGAATTCGATGGCCACCTGCTGGATTTGCTGGGCAAGCTCCCTGGTGGGAGCCAAAACTAAGGCGATGGGTCCATCGCCACGCTCCAGGCGCGGCTGGTTATTGATGTGCACCACCGCCGGCAGAACGTAGGCCAAGGTCTTTCCCGATCCCGTCTGGGCCACGCCCACCAGATCGCGTCCACTCAGGGCGATGGGCCAGCCCTGTGCTTGAATGGCCGTCGGCTTGGCGAAGCCCTGCTTGCGGATCTCGTTCATCACGTAGTCGGGGAAGCCGCCCTCCTCGAACTCAATGCTGGGCGTGGGCACCTGGTCGCCCTTGATGGTGATCTCGTTGCTGGTGAGGAAGGTCTCCGTTTCGCCGGGAGTGCGAGCCAGCACGGATTCGCAGGGTTTGTAGAAGTTCTTGCGGAACGGCGTGAGATTCACCTCGGACCAGACGATCTTGGGCAGGTGGGCGCCGTGATTGGAGGAGCGCTGACCGCCGCCGTTGAAGCCATCCTGGCCGCGGGGTGGTCCGCCACCGCCCATGCCCATTCCCGGTCCGCCGTTCATGCGACGCTGTCCGCCATTCACGGGTCCATGACCATTGAAACCGGGATAGGGAGCCGAGCGATTGCGCTGGAACATGCCCGCTCCGCCGGGCGGAGCTCCGCCGCCCATGCGATTTGGCACCATGCCATTGGCACCTCCGGCGCCTCCACCGCCGCCACCGCCGCCGCCGTAGGCGTTCACCTGTCCGTTGTACCTGCAACGAGCGTTTTGGGCCATGAAATTAGAATTTTGAGCCGATGCTTTTGTCGATGCTTTAGCCGAAAATACAAAATGTTGCAATTTACACAGAGAGCGTTCTTTTTTTATGTAATTTTTTCGTTTTTTACTGCCATTTTGAATTTATTGATTTTCGACACTCGTCGCCAGGCCGCATGGTTACCTGGTTTTTTTCGGCTAAAAGGTGTTCTTTTCGTTGGGGGAAGTGACTTCCGACTTACATGTTCATTTCTGGTGTGCTGAAAGTGGTAAGATAGCGGGCCAAATTATGGTTTTTCGGACACTTTTGCAATTTTTCACACTTTTTACAATTTTTTCAGCTCTACGTCGTCAGTAAAAGTAGTGATGTGAAAAATACAAAATATCAAAGTATCGATATTATTGGAATTGACATTTTAGCCGATGCACTAACCAACTGTCAGCTCACTTCCCTTTTCCGCCGCAATGGCGCTGTCAAATGTTAGATTCTTAACAGAAATATTAAGGTACAACAGAGGATAACAGTTCTGCCAATGTAATGCATCTTAACATTTCTGTTAAATTGAGAGGAGAGAGAGAGAAAGAGAGAATCTCTGAGAGATGGGAAAAATATATAGATATATCGATATACACAGTGCTAGCCGAGACGCGAACCATACCCTGCGTATATTTTGGGGTGACCATATTTCCATGGTTTGTGTCTCCGCTAACACTGAGTACATTTTAGTGAGACCATGGCTAATTTATCCGTGGTTCATTCCGTCGACAGTTTACTGTACATTGTAAAGTAAACAAACATGGCTTAATATTAATTTAAACTTCTTAAACGGAATAAAATAGCTAAAAACAATGCGCACTAGCTACAAGAAAAACAGACCCTTCGACTTCAAGCTGATAGATCTGGTGGAACCGAATCCAGTGCTCTACAAAAGATCCGGACTCTCGAATTACGATGCAATGAAAACCAAAACCGATCTCTGGGCTCGAATAGCCCAGATGATGAATTGTGATGGTAAGTAATTACAGATATTATATACCTATTATATACTTAAATACCATCCACAGTGGACTTTTGTTTGATGCGCTGGAACAACCTGCACTATCAGTTTCGCAAGGAATATCGACGTGCGGACACCAGCGGCTCCACCTGGCCATATTTGGAACGCCTGCGGTTTCTGGCCGAGAACCAGCCACCTTTGAAAGCGAAAAGCAAGCCCAAGGCCAGGGATTCACCCGGAAAAAGTCAGGAAGAGTCACCCGTGCAGTTCCTTTGGGGAACCTACGGTGAAAGCGGGGAAGTTCCCCAACAGCCCAGCACCTTCATCATCGAGGAGGTCATCGAGGAGCCCGGCGAGCAGATCATTCAGGAGGAGATCATCTACGAGGAGCAGGAACCAGCGGAGATACTCTCGCCGCGCAGCAGCTTCCTCCAGATGGACCAAGTGCTGGCCCAACTCAAGGAACCGCAGCGCAAACGAGCGGAGCGAAGGATCACAGCCTTCCTGCTCAAGTGCCAGCTGCGTGCGTTGAGCAATCAGTCCGCAGAAGACCTAGTCATATAGCTCTCTACTCTCAACTTTATTAAAAAACAGAAGAAACTAAGATTACACCTTGCACTTGTCCAGATCCAACCAGGCCACCTTGGGCTTAATGATGAACTGATCGCGCGGCAAGCTGTCCAGCATGGCGGCCTGCTGGCGAACGTACTTCACCAGTCGCTCAATGTGCGCGTAATCGTCGCAGTTCATCTCGAAGAAGCGGCGCCACAGGGCGCAGGCCAGGACCGCGATCGTCGGACATAATGCCCTCGTCGTAGGCGATGAGGGCCGCTTGGAACTGCTCGGATAGCGTCTCGATCTGCTGACGGGTGCGCGACGGATTGTGGGCCTGTTGGGGAGGAGAAAGGTGGGGATGTAAGTATTATTTTAGGGTAAAGGTAAACTAAAACTAAAGTTTAACATCAATAAGTAAATAAGGAAATCAGTAGGTACCTATTTCTATAATACTAAATAATTACTATAGAAAATAATCATTAGGGGTTTAGAGCAATTAAGAAAGGGTATTTGAACTTAGGTTCCAGATATGAAAGAGGTTCTGGATTATATAGTTAATATAGAAAATAATTATTAGGCATTTACAGCAGTTAGGAAAAGGTATTAGAACTTAGGTTTCAGATATGACAGAGATTCTAGAGATTCTATAAATTAAGAAATAAGGAATTCAGTATCTAGTTCTATAATATTAAATAGTTAACATAGAAAATAATTATTAGGGACTTAAAGGAATTAGGAATAGGTATGTGAACTTAGGTTTCAGATATGAAAGATGTTCTAGAGATTGACCTGTTTAAGAATTAAGAAACTAATTCCCTTACAAAAACTTCAATTAGAGGTTTCGACTTCAAGCCTGAGATACTGAATTTAAGCAATTAACTAATGGTTAGTAGGTAGACCCATTAAAGTTCGAGGAATGAAAGTTCGACTGAAGAATAAGATTAAGATCCAAGATTAAACCTACTCCCAACTTCTTGGCTCGCGTGTTGACATCTCCCCACATGGCCTCCACGATGCAGTTCCTCAGGAAGCGTCCATCCTCGCCCGTTTCGGAGCCCTCGGCCATGGAGCGCATCAGCAGGAGCCAAACGTGCAGTTCGGTGACCAAAAACCAAGAGTTGAACGTATTGGGCAGATTGAAGTCGCGGAAAAAGGCCACATAGTTGATCTTATCGGCCACGCTTTCGTACAGCAGATGACTGGTAACCTTGAGGCGCTGAAAATGGATAATTCTAGTAAATAAAAAGTAAATTAAGTTAAAAATCCATCACTTACCGCCTTTGTGTTCGGTGTGAAGCCCACTTTGTTAAGCACTCTCTTCAGGATTCCATCTTCTGTGGGTGCTGCGGTGCCGGGTTTGGTTTTATTGGGACTATCCACAACGCCGGTGGATGAACACAAGCGGCAGGATTGCTCAAATACACCTAATATCGCTGGCGTCTGTTTGTAGGGCTGTTGGGTCACCTAAAATAAGAGTAAATTGTAAAAAATTGTACACCCGTTTATATAAGAGTTGCAGGCGGTGCATTCAGGGGGCTGTTTTGTCAGTAAATGGAGGGTTTCTCTTGGTTCAATCCTACCCATTGGGTTCTCACAATGCCGCTGGCCAGCCTTGCAACTGCACGAGTGCACTGCATTTTTAAAAGTTATCTAAATTCACTAAAACAAAATCGTTTAAAAAAACCAATTGCACGCGACAACAGCCCCGAACAGCTGATCCCAACAGGGCTGCCAACTCGGTTGTTTACAGATTAACATTTATATAGCAGCTGTACTAAAAAGCTTACTGTTAAGGCAGTTTTATAACTGAAATTGTTATTTTCTAGTAAACATTTTTCATTTAATTAAAGATTAGGGATTACCGCCTCTTCTTTATTTATTTTTAATTCATAAAATTAACAAAAGGAGAATCCCAGAGTGACCACATCTAATGCTAAGCATTAACAGTAACAAACGGTCATACCAGCGCCCACAACTTACAATCCAATTGGAAATGTAAATAAATAAATATTTATTAAAAATTAGGCTAAAATCACACAAGACATGCTGCGTTTTGGCACTCAAATGTGCCGCCAAGTGGCCTTTAATATGCAGACAGTAACCCGCTTGCCAAGCGGAAGGAACACCCAAAAATTGATCACTAGGAAGATGACACAACAGCGATCGCCGGTGGATTGGACCACCAGTATTCCAACTAAGGCGGCGAAGGACAAGGAAAAGATTGCTCCTTTGGGATGGTTTCTCCTGGTAAGTTTGAAAAAATTTATATAAATATATATTTAATATTTACCTAATCTCTTCCAGCTCATACCAGCCACCACTTTTGGTCTGGGCTGCTGGCAAGTGAAGCGGAAAGATTTGGAAGGAGCAGCTGATCAAGGATCTTAACAAGCAGCTTAGCGCGGCTCCAGTGGATCTACCAGAGGAGTAGGTTTCGAAACCCCTTCCTAAATACTACTTCCTATAAATATAACCTGTACTTTCTTTAGTCTCAGTGACTTAAGCCAAATGGAGTACCGCCTGGTCAAAATCCGTGGACGTTTCCTTCACGAGAAGGAGATGAGAATGGGTCCCAGGTCGCTCATACGTCCGGATGGCGTGGAGACCCAAGGAGGACTCTTCTCGCAGCGAGACTCGGGCAATGGCTACCTGATAGTCACCCCCTTTCAGTTGGCCGATAGGGAGTAAGTTCATCTTAGGGGTGAAACCAATAGGATTTCCTTTTAAAAACTACTAATTCCTCCAGCGACATAGTGCTCGTCAATCGGGGATGGGTGTCCCGCAAGCAAGTGGAGCCGGAAACGCGTCCCTTGAGTCAACAGCCTGCGGAAGTGGAGCTAACAGCCGTGGTGCGGAAAGGAGAAGCTCGTCCTCAGTTTACACCTGACCACAAGGGCAATATCTACCTTTATCGCGATCTGCCACGCATGTGCGCCGCCTCAGGAGCCGCTCCTGTCTTCCTGGATGCCATCTACGATGTCCAGGCGGCCAAAAGTGGGCCCATTGGTGGCCAGACTCGCGTCACCCTGCGCAACGATCATCTTTCGTACCTGGTCACCTGGTTTAGCTTATCCGCGGCCACCTCCTTCCTTTGGTACAGGCAAATAGTCAAGAGGATACCCTTCTAAATGACCATTCAAAACGCTCTGTTGTTATTATTTATATAAAATTTACATGCTCTCGTGTAAATGCTGGTTTTTTATTGACTCGCCGCAGGAGAGGATTAGCTTATATTGCAACTGCCGATCCTCGAGTGGCGGATCGGCACGGGAATAGGAATATGAATACAAATACGGTTCGGGTTTTCCGCTACGGGCGTGCCTAGCTGAATACTTTAACTATTTAAAAACATATTTGTTAGACTGGGTCGATGTGGGGAGAACTTTAAAGGCGTAAGATACAAAATTAATCTTAAAGTTCTAAATGTAAAGTTGGACCTTACTAATTTTCAGTTTGCCTTCTAATTATTTACAGAAAAAATAGTAGTTAAACGTGTCAGATTAAGTTGGAAATTCATATAAAATAATTATTTAATTCATGTTTTAAACTTTTGTCATTTTTACTTCAAAGGAAATGACCAAGTGAATTAATAGTTAATTTTTTTAGGGTCAAAGATTTTATGTCAGATTACTTTCCGTCCCACCTTCTCTTAATCCTCCAAATCGACCCACTCTAACGCACAGACACAAAAAACAGATACGGTTATTTACAGTTTAGTCTCGCAAATACTGGAAATTTCGCCAACTTTAAGTGTAAATGCCACCACCTCCGCCGCCCTTCGCACCTAAAGCTGCGGCACAATGCCCCAGGAGCGCAGCAGACCGGCTCGCTGGTACTTCTTGCCGATGGTCTGGAACGTGGAAGCCAATCTGCTGCAGTCGCTCGTGGTCGAGGATCTTGCGGCCATCGAAGATGTAGGCCGGCTTCATCATTGACTGGTAAATGCGCTTAAAGTCCAGGTCCACGAACTCATCCCACTCCGTGCAGATGACCAACGCATGGGTGGCTCGAACGGCACTGTAGGGATCGCTGTGGATCTGAACCGCCTTCTTCACCTTCTCCGGGGATTCCGTGACACTTGGATGCGTGAGGTCGTCGATGATTTGTTCGGGCTCCACTTTCGGATCGTAGATATCCAGGGCGGCGCCTTCCTCCAGCAGAGTTTGGCACACCGTAATGGCGGCCGTTTCGCGGGTATCGCCCGTGTTTTTCTTGAACGCAAAGCCCAGAATAGCTATCCTCTTGTCCGACACCGTGTTGAACAGACTCTCGATGATCTTCTGCGAGAACCGCCGCTTCTGGTACTCGTTCATGTCGATCACCTGCTGCCAATAGGCGGCCACCTCCGGCAGATTGAGGTTCTCGCAGATGTAGATCAGATTGAGGATGTCCTTCTGGAAGCAGCTGCCGCCGAAGCCCACGGAGGCCTGCAGGAACTTGGAACCGATGCGGGAATCCAGACCGACGGCCCTCGCCACCTCGGAGACATCTGCTCCCGTGGCTTCGCACACAGCCGACAGTGAATTGATGCTCGAAATGCGTTGGGCCAGAAAGGCATTCGCCGCCAGCTTGGATAGTTCACTGCTCCACGTGTTGGTCGTGAGGATGTTCTGCTTGGGTATCCAGTGCTCGTAGATCCACGACAGCTTCTCCACCGCCTGATGACCCTCGGGCGTCTCCTCGCCGCCGATCAGCACGCGATCCGCATTCAGTAGGTCATTGATGGCAGTGCCCTCGGCCAGGAACTCTGGGTTGGACAGAATATCGTAGTGGATGCCCGGCTTTTGGTTCGCCCGGAGGATGTGCATGATGCTCTCTGCCGCCCTCACGGGCACCGTGCTCTTCTCCACCACAATCTTGTTGGACTGCGCGATCTCGGCGATCATTCGGGCTGCACTCTCCACGTACTTGAGGTCCGCCGCTCGGCCTGGGGATTTGAAAAGGGGATTTATTACATGATTTATACTTTAAAGTACTACAATGCACTACCAAGGTAATAAGATCGCTTTATTTGAACAATGCCTAAAAATAGTAATTTAAAATTATTTTTAAGTATTTAACTTTAAAAAAAGATTTTATTTAAGTAGACCTTTGCTATAAATATATTTTTTAAATAAAATCAAACTTAAAGTCTTTATAGATCGAACAAGTTTTAATGGTTATCATAAATTCACGAGAAATATAGTCTATAAATCGAAGACTTCATAAATATTTTTTTAGCTGTAGATTGTTATGGTAGTTAGTCTTTAATTGCTTTTTTAATAAATTTGATTCCAAGTCATCTGAGATTATTTATATCAAGCCGATTTATGATCATTTTTCCACTTCACAATATTTTTCCTAGAAATAACAATGACCTTCTATAACTTTTCACTCCATTTTTTGTTTTTAACAAAGCGTGGTATTAATATAATTAATACAATCGGATATTACGTAGTAATCTTTTTGGTCGAAATTCTAACGGAATTCTTTTGTACAAAAACAGAAGTTCTATTCTTAAAAGATTTCTGTGTCACTCAACTTAGCTAGTTTAATAATATTAAGTAATAACAAACAGATGTTAACTATGGTTTTATGGACAACAATTTACGAATAATTATATTGCAAGACATTGAAATATTTCTCCATTTAATAAGACTTCAATTATAGACCTAAATTTTTCAATTACCACTTACCTTTGCCATTGCCGCAGGTTTTTGTGGGCGTGTTCACCGAGATGAAGATGAGGTCCGCCTCCTTGATGGCCGTTTCCATGTCCGTGGAGAAGAAGAGGTTCACATTGCGGCACTTCTTGACCACCTCATCCAGACCGGGCTGAAAGAAACGCAGACATTCCTCATTAAAATATTTTACAAATTATACTACAAGTTGTTGGCCTAGTTTTCTCTCCATTTTTTTGTTTGTAATGCCAATCACGACCCACTCCCAAAGTCAGAGCGTTTGGTGACGTTCCTACTTCGTCTGCCGATAAGATTATACCCCTTCTATATAGTATGTACATGTTTTTTTACGCGGACCTTATCCGATTCCGTTTCCTACGAAAGCTATCTCTCAATTAACCCCGCTATGGTTCTGTTTACGTGCTGAAATAACACTTTGAGTGGTCCACTTTCATAAGCGTTTTGTGATTAATTTAATAATTATTGGATAGGGTCTTCCCATGACTACCCACGCTTATGCAATACTCACACTTATTCTTTATTCCCCCACCATTCAACGCTTTCAGCCAGACTTATTTCCGTTTCTGATACGATTTGAATGTTCATTGAACTCGTTTTGTGAGCACCGTCGAATTTGCATACGTATTTATATGGATTTCTCGGAGGCAGGTGTTAATAACTGTCTTTCTTTTTGGGTTTTTGTTCAAGATAAGATCTACCTATGTTTCTTTGAATTTGATTAATCAACAGAGACAAGGGAAAATCAAAGAAAGAGAGGTTACTTGGGAACAGTTTCTAAAAATACACGACCTGTGGTGCTATCGAGTCTATGACTGATAAGTTTCTGCGATGTACAGGAAAATGAAGAAAACGTTAATGTGTACACCGAGTAGGAAATGTTAGCAAAAAAAAGTTGGCAAAAAAAATGTGTCAATAGCCAATTGTGCACTTGCTAAACAAGAGGATGTTGTTTACAAGGCCGCATTGATATTTCCAGCAAATTGCATTTGAGAAAAACAAATTATGACCATGATGTTTGCTGGCGGTGATGCAATCTTGGTAAGTGAATATCAATAATAAGAATGGAATGCTGGCCTAGACAGCCTCTGTGGGTACAAGTGCACTCAATGCCGTGTTTTTGCCCATCGTATTAGTGTGCACATTAGTAGTATCTATTACTGTGGAACGTCTTTGGGTGAAACGTATCTTGAAAATTTTTTTTTAACTATCTGTTTTCAAGTTTCAAGACATTCTAGATCTATTCTTGTAATATAAATAAATTCACCAATATTTTAATGGCGTAGGAAAAAAGATTTAATAATAATCCAAAAATAGACTGTTCAAAAAAGCTAAATTCTTACAGATAGTGCTGGTTCTACTGTGTTTGGGTGATTGCATATATTTTTTTCGCGTTATTTCCCCAGAGATACCGCTTTGTTTGACGAGAACGTGGGTAATTGGACAATTTCCAACTAATGTGCGCCCGCTAAAACCCAAATCACCCTGCCCAGCGAGCTTATCTCGACCCGAGACTCTCTTTTGGCGCAGACCCGCGATAAGAAGAGCGGGGAGCTATTCTCGAATAGTAAAGTAAATGGGGGCAGGCGGAAGCCAGAACGGAAATGCGACAGTGGAAGAGGAGAAATACTGTGTGACGTGCTGAAATCTGCCTGTGCCGGCAATCCGCTTACACCTTATGGCTTCGTGGCGCATTTAATATCTGGAATCGAGGAGAATCGAGGCCTGGCTGGCATTATGGTCACGCAGTCTGGAAAGTAAAATCGATTCCCACGCTTGTTTTCCGTCCCGAATCATATTTCAGCAATCATTCGGCTCTACGGGCCTTTATAGTTTGTTTTGAATGACTAATGGCCGTAACACGAGGACTGACCATTGACCTTGTTGTGGGCCAAGTGCGTTAAACACCTGAGTGTCTAGTAAAATGCCAAACACGCACCGATGTTCAAGTGAAGACTGACTACAGAGAGAGAAATGATTGTGTAGATTATATTTTGAAAAAATTTTTTAAAGGTTCCGCTTTAAGTACACTAATTTAGCAACCTTTAACATGAAATAGTTTAATCATGTGTACAAAAAACTTACTTCTAAAAGGTTTTATCTTTATGGTTTCTTGAAAATGTTTTACTAAGCTATATTTTCTGTTAAATTATGACTCATTTATAGCATAGCGTGATAACACATTTATATGGAAAGTAATACAAATAATGCAATATTCTAATATGTTTCTTTCTAACATTAAGTGATAATAGATTTAGAATTAGATAAGTAACTAAATGGCTTCAAGAGCAATGTCCTAATGTCATAAGATTATTTAACTAAAATTCTTATAACTCTGCAATTTATCCAAAATTTTAAGATGTTATCTATCCCATGACATATTACCCAAAATAATCTCCTAATAGATCTCTTTTTTTCTGTGTGCATGGGAACTGGTTTATTTTCGAGAAGGGTGAGGGGTCTTCACCGACTTGGGCATGAGCGGTCAACGACGTTTCGAGTTCTTCTCGATGGATCTCGGGATTGATTGATGTTTTGTTTGTTTAGGATTAGTGGAAACCCCCAAAAATAAAAGAATTGCAAGGCTAAGGCGTGAGCACACACACACTACCATGCCAATCGCTCCCTCTCCCTCCCACGGGTGCACACACAAAAACACATACATTCCAAGGGAAGCACTTCCTATGTACATACAAACCCGAGTCGAAAAAACCAACCTCGTAAATGGGCAATTTATCCGAATTCCACTGGGCAATCCGCTCGACGCTCTTGTCCACCAGGGTTATCACGATATCGGGGCACTTGAGCGCCATAACCGCGCAGGTCGGACCCCCGACATATCCAGCGCCAATGCAGCAGACCTTCATTATTGCACCGCGTTTCGTTTGGTTTGTTTTGGTTTGCTTTCCTTCCGTTCCCTCTTCTCACCGAGTTTCCCTTTTTTCCGGCTAGTGTCGAGTCGCGTGCTTTTCCACCGAGCGGTCCGCGGAATCTGACTTTACGGGGGCGGAAAAAAAACAATAACTACTACTACGAACGGTCTTAAGTTTACGAGCAAAATCAACAGAAAAAGCCAGCCAATGGTAATGCCGTGTGACCGCCGCGCGACTGGCGGCAATATACCATTTCCCGAAACGGTCATACTGTTGCGAGTACCGTTGTGAATTTGAAAATTAAAAAACCGTTTTCTTTATAGAGGTTCTTAACTCAAAAAATTAAAAAAAAAATAATTATTTATAACTTATATACGTTTGTATAAATTTAAAAAAAATTAGCCAGCCAACTTTTTTTAAAAATTTTTTTTAGGAACCGGGGAGACGGTTTAGTTATAGGTATTTAGGGAACAAATTTAATTTATATTTTAAGCTAGCACACAATTTTGTTTACTTGGCTAAGAAGAAAAAATTAAGACTTAATATTATTAAAATCAATATGTTAACTAGGATAATAAAATGTTTAAAATGTTTTTTAAATTTTAGGAGTTACGATTTCTTTCTTGATTAAATTACCGAAAAAAATTTAAATCATTCTAAATCATTCTTAAAAAAATCATTAAAAAAACACTTCAATCCAGCTGACAGAAAGGAAACTGAATTTATTTCACGACTTAAAGCAAACTCAAACGAATAATGCTCAGCACTTCCTCACGTCTGGAACGATTCCGCACTCGGCGTAGGGATCGACGGCCTTGGCCTCCTTTTTGGCGCAGGGAGGACACTCCACGCAGCACAAATCGTCCTTCGGAGTGGCCTTCAGCAGCCCGTCAATGTTCTCGCCCTTTGGAGCCTTTAGATTTGTGCCTGAATTTACCCTAGCCGGCACCTCACTCAATCTGCTTTTTGAAGTGGTTTTGGGCAGCGAGTATTTAGTGGCATCCGGCGGATTGGGTCTGCCCCAAGAAGTCTCGCGGCACATCCCAAATGATGAGCGATCCGTCGGTGCTGCCGGTGACAAACATGGTCATACAGGGACTATAAGCACAACTGATCACGGAGGAGGCGTGCTCCGAGCCCAAGCCCACCACAGCTCCACTGTTGTAGTCCCAGAGTTTAACCTGCAGATCGCTGCCCACGCTGATGAAGTAATCGCCCGTTTCGTTGATGGCCAGGCAGTTCACCGAGGATTTCTTGGAGGCCGTTAGCTCCCTGATCAAGGCACCATTGTACACCATCCAGTAGATGATCCTGCCGTCGGAGCCGCAGGTGATCACTTGGACTCCAGTTGGGAAATAGGAAGCAGACATGAACTGCGTGTTGGCAGTCACCACTTGTTTGCGGGTCATGCGTCTGTGGAGAATGGGATATAATATATTGATTAATAAAAATAAAAATAGTTCTTCTAACTCACTTTATATCCCAGATCACACAAGAGCCATCAGTGCAGGCCGAGATCACTTCAGTGTCCAGATAATTGATATCCAACGAGGTAATGGGACCTGAGTGATCCTTCAGAACGCCCAGCAGATCCTGGCGATAAGGATCGATCTTCCACACCCTCACTTGTCCCTCGATGCCGCCAGTAACAATTAGACGACCCGTGGAGGCTACGGCCAAAGCACTGCAGCCTGGTTTTAAATATAGAAATTCCTTAAGTACAAGTTATAACCAATTCCTAGATCCTCACCCTTATTGTGCGCATTGGGAATAGCATAGATGAGTCTTCCTGTGATGGGAGTAAAGGCCCGAATGATTCCATCGTTCCAAACAGAGACAATACTGGTGCCATCATGGGTAAAGCGAACACAGGCGCAGTTAAAGTTATAAACCATAATGCGGAGCAGCTCCTGTTTGCGTCCAGAGGACCAGATGCGGATGCACTCCTTGCCAGAGGTGGCAAAAACACCAGAGTAGTTTCTTAAATATATATAAATATAATATCAGAAGATATTTTTAAAAATATAAGTACTTAAGCAACTCACTTGGGAAAAGTTATACAATAGACCGACTTAGTATGACAAGTTCTCAGCAACTTAAGCACCCAGGTCTTGATATTTAGGCCATAAATCTCATTGGTGTCCGTGCAGATGTAAAACATTTCTGGTTTGGAGCGAACAAACGAGGAGATCCTTCCCGAAACATGAGTTTTCTTGAGGGTGCGCAGATATGGCCACGTAGGACCCGGATAATCCCTAAAGTTTATAAGTGGTACATCGGTTCGCTCCTCCACCAGCTCTATGTCACCATTTCCAGCTCCAATTAGCAGGCGTCCTCCTTCGAGCACGTACAAAGCACGTACCCCATTCACATAGCGATTACAGTCCCTGCCAGTTGGCTTGCGAGGATTGTGGGTGCCAAAGGCTCCCAGGATGCAGCTGGTGGATCCCTGCTTGCTCACATGATCGCGATCGCAACAGTTGAGTACGATCTTTACGATATCACCCGTTCCAGTGCCCAAATAGGCAAACTCATCGGTCTTATCGATGCGCGCGCAGTAGAAAACCCTTGTTTTGCTGGCCATAAGGACATCCTGAACGTACAGTTTCTTCTCCTCGCGCAGGATGCTCCACAGACGCAGGTGGCGATCCCCGGCGGTCACAAAGAAGTAAGGATTATTGTGCATCGGTCGGACTGTCAAGGCATTTCCAGAAATAGCCCTCGAAGCGGGTGTTTGGCAGATGGGGGAGCTAAAACAGCAAAATTAATTAGTTTAGGTAAATTAATTATCAACAATATAGTCACCCACAATGCCTCCATATCAAAGACAATGACGGAGCCATCATCCACGCCTCCAATGGACACCACGCAGCGATCCTGGGCCGTGAAGCAGATGGCCTGAACGGATACCTTGTGGAGATCATGACGGGAGATCTCCTTGCGCTGTTCGTAGTCCCAGATGATCACATATCCGCGGAATCCCATGTGGTTTATCTGACCCGAGGCCATGTACTTGCCGCTCTTGCTGAGATCCAGACATGATATGGTATTCGTGTGCCCGGCCACAAACTCCTGCGTGTTCTTCTTGTAGTCAGCGATCCCGATTTTGTTGCCCAGTGCGAATATAATCGATCCAGTTACCGGATGCTGGCGCACTCCGTTCTCCACCTTGCCGTTGATCCCGAAGATCGCGCGCGGAAGAAGCTGCCTGCAGGCGTCCTGGGATTCTCCCATTGTTACAGGATTATAGCAAAATATACGACTGGATATGTAACATATAAAGGGGAGTTTGTGTTGGTTTTTATAATAGGTGCCTTTGAAGGTTTTAAGCCGGCTTGTTTTCTGTTTGAAAACAAGGCATTTGGAATTTTTAAACAGCGACCGTTGCTTGGTTGCCGTTGCCAGCGAAGATCAAGTGGTATGTTTTGGTTAACTTTATTTGTACTTCATAATTTAATTATGATTTTATTTTTAAGATAATTAAATTAAAAATTAATTTAACAGCAGGGTTAGTTGGATAATTATTTTAGCTTTGAAGTGAACCCTTTTAAACTTGGATTATTTTAAGGTGACAGATTTACTATAAACCTTAATAAATTATTTATAAATAATGTAGTATTATTTTTAATTGGCCAAAGTCTTTGTTTGGCTGTTTTAGATTAACTTGGGTGCAATATTGTTTCAGCTTGGCCGCATTGAGGGCGGAGCAGTTCTTTTGTACACGATCCTGCATTTCGATCTCTTTTTGGATGAGATCCTCCATGGCGGCGTATTTTTCCTCTTCAATTTTTAGGTGGGCCAGCATGGTCATGTTCTAAAAAATGTTGTTTCAAGTTCGATTAGTAGACTAATTAATGAAAAAATGGAAATTGCAGGAGACTTGGGTTTTTAGAAACTGGTTGAAAATCCTTTAATGATGGTCTTTAAATTATGATTATGAGTTATGGGTAATTACCTCTCTGTATTTAGCCTTCAGCTCCTCCAGTTTGGCTACCTTCTGCTCCTCCTGCTCCTTTGGTAAACTGATTTTCGAGGAACATGTGTTCCGGCAGCAGTACGTGCGATGGAACATGGAAGACCTTGCTGTCCAATTCTCGCAGGGCTTTCAAACCCTTGGATGCGGAAGCCAGAAAACGACGCTCAACGGTTTCCTTTTGGGCCTTCCAACAAATCCGCTGTTGCGGGGGTCTTGATCTTATTAATTATGCGTGCTGCACCCTGCTTTATAATATCCTGCACAATGTGTTCGCCTGTAAAAAAACAATGGGTTAATAGGACGCTATCCATAATATTAAAGAAATATCACTTACGCTCGGCTGAAAGCTGTGCTGCCGTGAAGTTGAAGTACTTCTGATCGTAGGTACTGCTATTAAAGTCCATGGCAAAGGATCGTTGCAATATTAATTAGCAAAAACTAGATTAAAATTGGACGGACAGATAAACAAAAAATCGCGCAATTTCAAATTAGTAGTACCGTTTGTGGAAAGCAAAATGAAGCTACCTCTTGAACAGTGCTGGCAAATCTAGCTAATAAATATAGCTACAAAACAAATTAAATTGAAAAAACGGCTATAAATAAATTATATTTTTCCATTATCTGACAGAAATTACATAAACAATTTAAACTAATTAAATTATTATAATAATTAGCATACCTATGTTAACAACAAGAATACCCCTATTATTTTTGTGATTTGCTTTAGCCGGCTTTGCGAATATAATGTAGCGAGAACTGAATAATCAGAAAAGTCGGACACACATAACGGTGCCTATATAAATAGCTCACACCACTCTTCAGTCGCTATTTACAGTTGGACTGCCTTGGAGGCATTCGATCTAATTAAAAAGTGCACTGCAATTACTGGAACTTCCACTCGACCCGAGCAAACAAAGGCGACAAATATGCTTTTCATTGGGGGCGTTTCTTGGAGGCCCCTGGGACTGGGTCTCTTGCTCCTGGGACTGATAGCGCCCATCTCTGGAGGCTTCCGTCGCGGGCGTCTGGATAACGGATTCCTCGGGGAGCCCAGCAAGATACCAACACTCCAGAGATCCCTGGACTCCAAGGATCTGTGGTTCGAGCAGAAATTGGACCACTTCAAATCCAGCGATACGCGCACCTGGCAGCAACGATACTTTGTGAACGCCGATTACTACCGGAATGATAGCTCCGCACCCGTATTCCTGATGATCGGCGGCGAGGGAGAAGCCTCGGCCAAGTGGATGCGGGAGGGCGCCTGGGTCCACTACGCAGAGCACTTTGGAGCCCTCTGCCTGCAGCTGGAGCACCGCTTCTACGGCAAAAGTCACCCCACCGCCGATCTGTCCACCGAAAATCTGCACTACCTGACTTCCGAGCAGGCTCTCGAGGATTTGGCCAGCTTTGTGACCGCCATGAAGGTGAAGTTCCAGCTGGCCGATGGCCAAAAGTGGATCGCTTTCGGTGGCTCCTATCCGGGCTCCCTGGCTGCCTGGGCCAGGGAAAAGTATCCCGACCTCATCTTTGGATCGATCAGCTCCAGTGGTCCCCTGCTGGCCGAGGTGGACTTCAAGGAGTACTTCGAGGTGGTCAAAGCCTCGCTGGCGGCCTATAAACCCGAGTGCGTGGAGGCCGTGACCCGCAGCTTTGCCCAGGTGGAGATCCTACTCAAGCACATGATTGGCCAGCGTAGTTTGGATGAGAAATTCAAGTGAGTAAACTGAGAAGATCAAGGAAATTATATATATTTATATATATATTTATTAGGACTTGCACTCCCATCAAGGACTCCATTGAGAACGACCTGGACATGGCCAGTTTCTTTGAGAATCTGGCTGGAAACTTTGCAGGAGTGGTGCAATACAACAAGGATAACAGCCCACATGCCACCGTAACCATTGATGATGTGCGTCAAGCCCTTTTTATGATTTTTTTCAAGTAGATTAACATATAAAATCACTTGCAGCTCTGCGATGTTATGCTAAATACCACCGCAGGACCACCTGTAACCCGTTTGGGCCTGGTAAACGACATGCTATTGAAGGAAGCGAACAGCAGCTGCCTGGACTACAAATACGAGAAGATGGTAGCGGATATGAAGAACATATCCTGGGAATCGGACACGGCTAAGGGATCGCGACAGTGGACCTATCAGACCTGCCATGAGTTCGGCTTCTATCAGACCTCCGAGAACCAGGCAGACACCTTTGGAAATCGCTTTGGAATCGACTACTTTATTCGCCAGTGCATGGATGTGTTCTCCAAAAATATGGACGCCAAGTTCCTGGACTTGGTGGTGTCTGGTACCAATGACAACTATGGAGCTCTAAAGCCAAAGACCACAAATGTTCTCTATGTGCACGGTTCCATTGATCCCTGGCATGCTTTGGGATTGGTGAAGTCTTCGGATCCTAAACTTCCCACTATTTATATAGAAGGTATGTTGGGTTTGTGATTTGCTTACTCTACATTTTATAAATAATATTATTTTCAACCTTTAGGAACTGCTCACTGCGCCAATATGTACGAGCCGGCGAAAACCGATCCGCCGCAACTGGTGACCGCTCGTAATAAGATCACCAAATTCTTGGCCAAACTTCTGGAAGGCTACACCTCAACCCTAATCTGATTACCAAATGCAGCGCAAATTAGCCAAGTCAAATTTTAGATTCGTCAGCGATTTGTTTTAATTTTTTATGAATTCGCTTGAGTTGTATAATATATTTTTTTGCTCCGCTGGGAGTTAATCCTTCTTGGCCTGTTCCATTTTCTCGTGGAATCTCTTCCAGTAGTGCTGCACCGAGGCGTTTCGGACCACATTGTGCTCGATAAAGTTCAATAGCCAGGTGCCGGTGAGGTAGCTCAGGTCATAAATGAAAGCTACGACGCGAAAGAAGTACTTCTCCGTCTGCTGCTTGCTGGGCATGTTGGCCATGATGTCCTGCAACTGCTTGGCAGCCGCCTCCTTGGCCTTCTTCTGGGCCTCGGTCTTCTTATCCTCGTTCGAGGATCCCTTTTCGCAACCCTTGCTGCGGACAATGGCGTTGGAGTCCAGGGGCTCGGCTCTGCCCAGGTTTCCGCCGGAGGTTACTATCGAAACGGGTGGCGACTGTACCTCAGAAATGGTCACATCCTTTCCAGTGGTATTCTCCGAGCTATTTCCCAAGGAGGAGGGACGCTCAGGAGCCACGAAGCCAGGCGGCAAGTTCTTCGTCGGTTTGTCCTCATTGCCTCCACCAACAGAGAAGCAGCGGATCTCAGCACGTGAATGTCCATTCAGCAGCTTCAAGGTCGAGTTATCTGCTCGGCAGAAAAGGGTAATTTGTTTTAAGTTCTTAAAAATCCACGTGCTTCACTCTTACCCCAGGTATTCACCAGTGATCCTGCCACCGACCGATTCCATTTGGCCAATAATGTTGTGCGAATCATGTTCCTAGTATTTGCGGCGAATGCAGATCTAAAATTCCTCACAGAAGCAAGTGAAAATTTCAACAAACGAATCGATTCCAAAATGCCTGACGGCTTTGAAGCAGAAAACGGAAAGGCCAACTTTTTTCTATCGACAGCCAGAGTTGCAACTCTTTTTGAAGATAATCCCTTTTTTAAAGGAAAAGAAATATACTAGACCAGGGGAGTATGAATAAAATATCTCTTTTTCCAATTGGATATTCTAATAATAATACAATTTAGAAAAAACTAAATAATATTTCGATTTCCCTGAATTTATTAAGGACTGTTTAATTTATTTGAATTAGTTGTCAGCCCTGCAAGTTTTTTAATAATAAACATAATATACTTGTTTTATATAAATTGTCTTTTATTTAGGCTATTACTAAACATATTAGTAAGTTTACTAGTTACATTTTAGGGCTTACAACTCCAGGCCTAGTTTCACCTTAAATAATGCTGTCAAGCTCTTGGCAAAAAATAAACGTCCGGCAAATGGCAGGGCCCAAAAGGGCACCTCTGCACGATACGATTCCCGAGGTGTTCCCATTGGAGACCGCCATTAGCGAAACTTAACTAAAGCCCAAGGAGAGCCGATCGGGCTCAGAGGTTAGGATGTACAAAACCCATCGGCTGTCCTTAGACGAACTTTACATTTTGTTAGGCTAATTGTTTAAATTAGTTAACTTACAGGTGCAATTTAATGGACACGGTTAACTAAATTGCAGTTGGTTATTTGTTCCGCGACTACTGGCAACCAAATCGGTTATTAAAATTACGTGTGTCAAGCATGTAACGCATTTAAAACATATATGGAGCATACGGTTACGTGTATGCAGAGCGTAAATGTATCGAGTTCTTAGCGTTTAATGGAAATGTTGATGCGCGTTTTCCTTTAATACTACGACGCAAGCTAAATAATGATGATCTTGTGATCCGCCGCCCCTTAGAATAAGCCAATTTGTTTCAGATTGTTCTTGATAATCACATCGGTGACAGCATCGAATACGAACTTGACGTTATTCGTATCCGTGGCGCAGGTGAGATGCGTGTAGATCTCCTTTTGGTCTTTCCGCTTGTTGAGATTTTCAAACTTCATGCGAATGTAGTTGGCCGCCTCCTCAAAGGTGTTGGTTCCTGAAAAGGATTGGGGTTTAGTTAATAATGTTGTTAGAAATGTAAATATTTTCATCATACCTGTGTACTCCGGGAAGCATATCGTCAGGGGAGATCGCTTAATCTTCTCCTCGAACAGATCCTTCTTGTTGAGGAAAAGTATTATGGAGGTTTCCACGAACCATTTGGAGTTGCAGATGGAGTCAAACAGCTTGAGGGATTCGATCATGCGGTTCATCTCTTCGTCCTCGGCCAAGACCAAATCGTAACCTATATAATTGAATAGTAAATTAGGTACATTTATAAAATATTCCTTAGCTTGTTGTTATATCAGAACCCTCACAAATCATAAAATGCCTTTGTTTTTGACATTTTGTTGAAGTAGAATTAATAGACAAATTTAATTGTTTCCATTTAATGGTCATAAATATAATTTTCTAAATTCTTATCAAAAATATTATATTTTTAGATTGTGAAGAACACAATTCGGAATTTAAATATGAACGAACTACAAAAAAACCTGCTATGTTCTTAAACATTTTTAGTACTTAGAAGTCGTAGTAATTCTTACCTGAAAGTGCTACGCAGAAAATGATGGCCGTAACGCCCTCAAAGCAATGGATCCACTTCTTGCGCTCCGATCGCTGGCCGCCCACGTCAAAAAGCCTGTAAATATTGTAAATATTATATTATTTTGACCAGAAACGGCTTAGTAATCCCAACTCACTTGAAGTGCAGCTGTTTGCAGGAGAAGTGTGTCTCGATGATGCCAGTGGTCTTGACTCGGGTGCGGAGCACATCCTGCTGGGTGGGAATGTAGTTCGGCTGCGCAATGCGATCCAGCGAGTTGAGGTAGTAACCCGCCGAGTCGTTCAGCTGATATTCGCGGGATCGGGCAAAACTTTGCTGTACGCCTCCGTCCGCCCATAGTTTCTTCATCAGAAGGACTATCTCCGGCAGCAGGATTCCCTCATCCGCCGCGGAGGCATGTGTGAAGAACTGGCGGGCAATGTCCGTCCTGCCGGGATCGGCAAACTCTATCTTCAGACGTCCCATAGCCCGGATGATCACCATGAGGCTCTGCACCGTGTTGCTGAAGACCACGCGGCGGTACTCCTCGCACTCCTCCTGCGAGTAGCCCGTGTCGTGGATGATCTTCATCTGTTTCACTATCGTCGACTTGCCCGACTCTCCAGCTCCTGGAAAATAAATTAATAAATATTAATTAGTAAGTTATTCCTTTAAAAAGCTTTTTATTTATAGCACTACTGGGATTTATGACCACAACAATTTTATTTCTTATTTTCTGAAATAACAAACATACATTCATAAATCTTAGAAATTATTCATTTGTTTCAATAGAAGCTGAGTAAATTCATGCGAATTTTTGGGCAGTGGGCGTGAGGTGATCTTTATAAATACCAAGTTCTGGGCGTAAAACTGAATGAATCAATGAGTTTACGACATTCCGAATTGAAAGGAGAATGGGACCCTCAAGTGGAGAACGGAAGAGGAATTTATGAATGAATGATCAAGAAAAGTTGCTCAATTGCGGGTTCAAAAGGCCAAAAAGCTGCCGGTTTACGCTTAATTGCGCTGGTCATGTTGAGAAATGAATGAACATCGAATGTGCTATATGATCTCAATAATAAAACAAATATAAAACGCCAAGTGGGGATCAATAAATTTGTATATGGTTTTTAGAAGAGCTTAAAAGGTATAATGTATTGATATATTTTATTTTGCTTCAAACTGCAAACTTTATCTCAGTTCCCAAGCCCTTATGAATCGACAAGCCAAGCCCTTAGGTTCAATGAACCACCCAGCGGTTCTCAAAAGTTATCAAAAGCCGGAGAAAATTAACTCGGCATAATTTTATTTGCCGAGAGCTTTCAATTGTAAAATGAGACCTGACCCGCGAGCGTTAATAAACAAACACAATCGTCTGGGACTGACCACACGAGTTTATTATCTGTTTCGTATGATAAAAAATAAAAAATATAATCACATTACGTGCTCGCCAGTTTCCCTTTTCGATGAAGGCACAAATGGAATAATAGAGAAAATGGGCAAATAAAAAATTGGCAACTCTTGCCGTCGAGCTACCGGTCTAAGTTTTATTTGTATTTTCATTTCAGTTATCAAGCGCTCTACGAAAGATGTCGGGGTATTGCAACAATGGCGCATTAAGCCGACTTTTTGCTGCAGTTGGGCTTGGGTCCATTCCCAGCGCCCGGATGATTAGGTAATTGCCGAACCGAAGCCAAAACTGCGACTATACTTTCACTTTTTACTCCTCTTAGGGCCTGGTACTTGCACTGTGACTATGATTGTTTTTACCTTTTCATAAGTAAATCACCTACGGTTAAAACTCCCTTGGGCTAAAGGTTTCCTGAAGTGGAAAATTTAATGTTATACTATTTAGTTAAGAAAGCATCATCATTTTTCATTAAAAGATTTTTTACAACATGTTCATAATAAAATACTAATATTTTTACGATCATTATACAATTTAAGAATTTTTTTTTAGGTTTAAAATCAAATCCGTATACATAAAATATATGATCAAGTATTATATCTTCATAGGGACAGTTTAAAATTTGGTGTATTTGCACTTAGTTACCATTGTTTAATATTTTCGTATTTTATTGTCTTTTCAATTCCAGCCAATCCTAACAATGCGTACTAATTTTGCAATAAAAAATGTCGTTATTGTGGATCACGGGAAGGAGCGAAAGAGACGCGTAGAGATAATGGCCAAACCAACGGTCGCCACATAATGATGAAATTTACAGATCTGAATACGAATATGGACATTAGGCGATGTTTAAACTTGCCACCGTGTGGAAAAAAACGAACAACAAAATTCACAAATGAACGGCAGAAAAAAAGGTCAATTTAATAATAATAATAATAACAAAATGGGTGCGAGTGTGTGTGAGTGTCTGGGCATTCATTTATCAATGCACCGTTAGCTGTGCCATAACAAGGGAGAAAGACCGCGAGTGCGAGCGAGAGGCGAACAAAAGGGATAAAGCGAGACGGGCTTAGAACAACGGCGGTACGCACAAAGCGATCCAAAGCCGCGCTTACAAGCTCATTATCATCGCGATCGTCATGACCATCGTCGCGCTGGAAACGGTATTCTAATTAACATCATTAAACAGTGGATATCGGCGAAAAGAGAATTTTTGGAGAGTCTTCCCAGACAGAAAGTAAGTTCTTCTCGCAAAGAGCTTATATTAAACCATTCGTAAAACACAAAACCATAGGCATATTGAAAAACTATTATACATAAATTACTAAAATTTTAGTAATAAGAAATTACTGATTACAACTTTTCTCATAAATATATAACACGTTACTTAAGAAGTATCTTTCTTTTCTGAGTGTTATCTCAAATACTTTAAAATTAAAAAAAATCAATATTTTAAAATATTTTTTTGAAATAAAGAGATATTTTAAAGAAAGATACATTCTGTCGTCATTTTTTAATAAAAAGTTGTAATGACTTAAAAATATTTTAAAAGTAAAAAAACAGGCATTTTCTACTGTATTACCCTTTTGGGTGGGGAACTTTCCACAGAGCGTGCAACGTACTGCACCAACTAATTGGCTGGGTGATTATTGAGCGGCAGTAGAATCATCATTAGAAACGGTGACTAAAGCCCCTCCAGACACATACAGCCATGCGATGAGTTAAAAAAATAACAATAGCTAAAGACAGCGAGAGGAGAATCGTAAGAAAGTGTTTGCGCCATGAGTAATCAACTTAAATGGCGCCTGAACTCGGTTATCGAAGTGGGAAATGTGTTAATCAGCGGGGAGTGTGAAATTGTGCGGACCCACTAAAAAGTAAACAATTAAATCAGATGAAATGACGCCCTAAAACGGAAACTCCACCTATCAATCCATCCATCGATTGAACCCCCAATGACTTTCACGCAAATCTTGATTATCATTTAATTTCCATCGCTTTCTTATATAAAATACGACGATTCCATCAATTATTTAACCGAATATATGGAGCGTAGCGCTGTTCGAAATTGATGTGTAAGGTCACTTAGCGATAATTTTGATAAGCCAGCCAAATGATACTTTCGATGTGCTCAAGTGTGTTTGTATGTGAATTCTTAACAAAAAATTCTAGATTAAGTCGCTGTGTTGACAGTCT